TCCGGAGGGTCGGGGAGCGCCGTCCTGTCCGCGCCCGGAGCGCGCCGGTGCCCGCGCCGCGCCTCCGCTGCCCGGCGGTGCCCGCTGGCGGCGTTCGCCTGCGCGTTGTCGGCCTCGCTCCTGCCTCGGTGTACGCAGATGAGCGCGGAACGGTGCCCTGGCCGAAAGCGCCGTGGTTGCGGTGCAGCAGGAAGTTCTGCTGCGAGACGTCAGCGAGGGCCTGGTGGTACGCCGAGGGATGTTCGCCGGGTTTCCTTCTGTCTGTTGCGCTGTGCTTCAACTCATTTGCGGTTCAGCTGAGTGTGCCGAGGGGGTAGATGTCATATTTACCTACATGCGCTGCTTGTGTTTGTCACCTATTGCTGTATTACTAAATGCTTTCTAGTAATTGGTTTATTAAAAAAGTGTGGACTTCATCCTTATGCATTGTGAAAGCCCGGGTGCTTTAATTCCTTCTCATCTGGAGCTTTGCTGATGCCGTTCTCTTTTTCGAAGTGCCTGGAATGGGATGTCACAGCCGAGGAGCAGTGTGCAGGTACAGGTGTAAGCTCAGCCCCCTCAGCATTTCTGTCTGCAAATGTAGATCACGCATCACTTGATTTTAGACTAGGAAACGTCGTCCTTGATCTCCTTAACAAAGCAGACACTTTTCAGTTCCCATAGGAGGAAGTCTCTGGTACACATAAAGTGAAAATGAGCTCCCTGTGCCTGTAGCAGCTTCCAAACTAGGACTCTGCTAATTGTTGACCTTCCTATAAGTCCTACTTTATCATAATATGGTGATATTGGATAACTGTTCATTTTCATTTATTCTTCTCGACATTAAAGGCATTTTTAGCAAAATGTATGATTTCTGCCAAGATCATTTCTTAGTCAAGTCAGAAAGTTAAATATTTGTTTCAGTTGAAGATGTAGAAAAAGTATTTCTGTTGATGCTTTCTCACACTAAAAACTGTATTGGAATATTCTACAGATTTGTCTGGAAGAGAAGCTAACATGAGCTTTATGAAAATGACCTTTCTTTTCTCTTACATAGTTGAATGTGTGCTGGTAGTTGATGTGTCCACAGAATGGCAGCAGGCTGTCAGTGTATTGACTTTTGTGACTGCGTGTTGCTGTTGGTACGTGGCAAATGCATTCATGGTTGAGCTGTACTGATTACTCACGGAGTGCTCTGTTGAGTTTTTGCCTCCAAAGAGGCGACTGCTCTCTAAGTAAATGCTAGACTTAACTCACTGAGATGTAGCTGTGAGTGAGATGGAAGTTTTAAGACTTGTGTGGTGTTGCTATGCAATATTTAATGTGGCAGACCAGGGAAGAGGGTTGTACAATGGAAAGCATTGCTGACTGACTTCCAAATTTTGTTGGCTGGTGTTCCATACTTTTTGAAAATTGTGCTGTGGAATGAGTTGAGAACATCAAGTTCTGTGACTAAGAACTTTATACCTCCTCTAGCTTTCCTGCTCCTGTAGTGGGAGCAAGATGCTGTCGGTTGGTTTGCAACCAGTGTTCTGTGCCAAGTGTTCTATTATTATTTATTGTTATTATTTGACACGCACTTTAGCTTGCTTGCAGTATGCACTATCCATAGGTAATCACTCAGCCTTTCTAGCTAAAGGCAGTCAAACAGCCTCAGCTCATATAAAGTGAGCAGGGCAAACTCTGAGGACATCTTGCCTCAGCTCAAAGTTTAGTGGTTGGGGTCCAAAAAACAGTGCTGAAACCTCATTGCAAAATGGGCAGTGACTGTGAAACACAGAATTTTCCCACCGTTTAGTCTGCAAGACTTGCAATAATAGTAAACAAAATAAAACTAGAGCAAAAAGCTCCAAACTTGACAAACTTCTAAACACCTAAATGCTGCCCAAAAATATCAGTATTATTTATTGGATCTTACAGTTGGGAGACTAACACTGTTCTGCGGTGGTGATTAATGCTTCTTGAAAAGATGTGAATGTCCCAAATTCAGGAAACCTGGTTCTGATAACTGTAGTTAATAACTGTATGATGAGTCTGAGGTCAAGCCAATAGGATGCGCACATCAGTAATGTTGTAAAGAACGCTGCTATGCTTGGGAGCTTTCTGGCCACTAGAGATTCTGGACCTCTTTTACAGACTCTCGGGATGTCGTGTAGCTGCCTGTAATGTAGAAGACACTTTGAAGGCCCAGGTTTCAAAGGTCCCCTTAACATATCATCATCGTCACTTCCTCCAAGCTTTTAATTCTCTTCTTGTTGTTTAACCTTTTAAGTGGAAACATCCTGTTTTCTTTCTTGATTGCTATCCTTTGTTTCAAAAGATACATCCTATGCTGTTTGCTCAGCTTGACTGCTTAGGATACAAGTAAATGAAGAAGACAGTATAATCCGAAGTGTGCATTGTAAGCTCTCAGAAACCTGAAATGCTTGCTATAAACCATAAATCAACCTGAACATAAATAGATTTGTAACATGATCAGCATACCATTTTTCGGTTCTCTCCTATTGTTAGTATGTTGAACAAACTGTGTGAGTAGTTTGGAGTTGATTACTTAACTATGGTTATATGAAATACTTGACTGAATGAAGTTATCTGTAGTGTAAAATAAATGAACACTTCCATACTTCCTCACTATAAAAATGTTTTAAGTAAGAAGTACTCTTATCAAAAAATTGGCAAATGGTTACTTTGCGTCTGGATCTGCTACTTTCCATATGCTTTGGAGTGCATCCAGGCTTGAATTCTGCCAGAAGTGGCTTTCCAGTTCTGTTCCAGGGAATGAATGTCTAATTCTTATTCAATGCACATGACTCAGTGCAATGCACAAGTGATGGATGAAGTTGACGCTGTAATAACCTTTTAAGTGTTACAAGTGCTTTCCTTTATCCTTGTGTTCCCTGGCTCGTGTTTCATGTCTTGATGGAAGAGTGGAGCAGAAAAGAGAAATTATATTTCCTGGTTTTGGACTTTCTTCCTTTTTTGATTATTTCAGAACTCTCAGTCCTTCTGGCATCCTGAATAAACTATTAACAGTTTTCTAGAAGTTTATTGTGATTCCAAATGAAGCTTGTCTATAAGAATTGCTCCCTAATTTCCATCTGGGACTTTGTGCTCAGAAATGTGCTAAAAAAATCTGCACGACGTGTGCAGTAAGTATGGTGCATTCAGGGTGTACTGGCACATATGTGGCCTAACAAGGCTTACTGAGTCTGTGTCCTCATTTGCGTTAATGCTGCACATCAGTTCTGGCACTTCTCAGATGAGCCTATGTTCATGGATTTTAGGGAGAAAATGCAAAATTTTTAGAGAATTTGTGGAAGGGACATAATAAGTAATTCGCTCTGAACTGAAGAGAGCAGAACCTCATGGTCCTCTGTGAGCAGCTGCATGTAACTTGTAATGGGGAGTAGTGCTGGAGACCCGTCAGTCAAAAGCTGTGTGCCTGCACTGGCACAGTGCTGAGCCTGAAATAAACACAGCTCCTCCAGAACCTCATGCCAAGTCTATGATGTAGTCAGATGGCGTTAGGGGAGGGTTTTCTATCCCAAATACATTCTCTGTTTTCCTGAGAAGGAGGACAAATTTGGATAAACCCAGATACAGAGGATTATTTCCTGTGCTATGAATACAGTTGTTACTCAGCAGTGATCCTGAGGCTTGTGGACGGCTGCTAGCCTCAGATTATACAAAATGCTATGCTTGTAGTGCAGAACTGCTTTAAATAGTGCTTGGGAGGAAAGTTTAGCATTGTAAATGTGCATAGGAGGAATCAGCAAGAAGCTTTGAGAAAAGGGGGCAGTTTGTTGTCCCAGTAAGATCTGGGAGTGGTTGTTTACAAATGAAACAGCTTTGCTGAAAAAAATCAAATTTATCTCAAATAAATCTGTATGACATTTTATCTGCAATACTGTGTGTTGGTGTGCTGTATCCCTGCCATAGGGTATTAGAGTTATTAGAAGTAGCTTTTCTTCTGGGCTGTCTCTCTAAATGAAATCATTGTCTTTTCTTACATATAGTTGGGGGATAATCACTAGCATTTACTTGTTGTGATTCTTGGTTCATAGGAACTTCGTGTTATTTGAGGAGAGAAGGAATAAAGAAAATTATTAGAATTTTTCTTGTAATTCTATTAATAGAAGAAAAAATTGGTAGAGAAGGGTCTTGTGACCCTTTAGGCTGTAGGAACGACACTGTCAGAATTGTCTGTAGAAATGAGGAAGTGATAAAATCAGTTTTCCCTGTAGGTGTTCTGCAGTGTTTTATTAAGGACTGCATAACTAAACGCTTATGAAATGTTTACTTCTAAAAACAAAAATCAATTTTGGAGTCGAATGCTGTTTTTCTTCCTCAAACTTTGCCCCAAGCATCCCATTCACAGCTGTGGAGCAGTGATCCCTTATACATTTTCATTTAGAATCTGTAAATCACATCTGTGTCCTTGTGGTTGTTTGTTCATAATCATCTGCAACTCATGTTTTTTCAGAAGTTTTATGAGCTGCTGTCTCATATGTTGCTTGACTCACTGAAAACTACGTCATGGAATGGTTGGTATCCTTTCTTGTTTGTGGGTACAGTTTCATGTGACACAAGAAGCTCTTGTGTTACTTTGATTCTCTGAAAGTGTGCATACTGGAGTTTAAGATCCAAACTGGGGCTGCTTTGAGGCTGGAGGCCCAGGAAGACATGCTGGTGATCTGAAGTAAACACATCCAGAAATCCTGTGCTGATGCAGTTTTAATCATGGGCTGTTCTTGTGCATGATATTGGAGATTTAAATGTGGAATGCTTTTCAAAATATAACCATTTCTGGCACGTTGTACTTCTTGGGCAAACAAAATTAAAATTTGCTTTTAAGGGAAAGCACATGGAACTGCCATAATGTCTGATGTTCAGCAGAAGAAAAGAGGTGCCTTGCTATAGCTTCTGCCTTTATTCAGTTACTTTGCTTTGGGATAGTATCCATTTTATAGCAAAAAAGTGAGATGAGTTTTTTTTTTAAGAAATGTTTAACATGATGGGAACAGGAAAATGAGCCCTGAGTAAGTTAAACTTTCCCATTTGAAGGAATAGGATTTCAATCTACTCCCTATCCTGCGTGTGAAGTGGCAGTTGGTGAAGCTGTTTCATCTGAACACTACTATCAAGCAGAGGTTCTGAGATCAGTCATTTCAGTGAGGATGCTGATGTCGCAGCAGAGGAGGTTCTGTTAGGCTCTGAGATGAGCAGGACGGCTCGCACTTAGAGAAAAGCCAGAAGCAGCTCTACACCAAGTCATGATCTCTGTCTTCTGAGAAAATTGCACTGACACAAATCTTCATCCTCAAAGTTTGTGTTAGAATAATGAGATAAAGACGGATTGCAAAACTAGACCAAACTGAATTCTCTACAAAAGGATTAGCCATCCTTAGGGAGAATACTGGAGGTTGTGAAGATGTTTTGTTTCTAAATAATTTGCTGTGCCCATGGATTTCAGAAAGAAATGGTGGGAGTGGTGATTCCCCCCTTATTTTCCTTGTAAAACTTGAATAATAACTTAGAAGAAATGGTTGGAATCCTTTGTAGAATGCAGTATGGTGTAGTCATGGACTTAGTCTGTATGAAATAGGTCTATGGGCTGCCCCAAGAAAGCTAAGTAAATGTAACACTGAACATTTAACAGCATGTTTATAAGCATTGGCATTCATTACATGTTCCTATCAAATGTAATTTTAGCATTGCTGAGTTGTAAGTTGAATCAGTTGAATAGTCAATCCTACCAAAAAGAGAAGTACAAAAAACTAATGAACGTGACTTTACTGAATAGTTAACAGTCATTGAACGTGACCTGATTTTATCAAAACACCACACTTTAGTTATAAAAAGTTTTTGTACCTCTCTTCAGGTACTGCTGTATCTCATTGTCCTTGCAAAGGGGAAAATTGTTCTTTCTGTTTGTGCTGTATTGGGTTACAGAACCATTAGGCCAAAGAAAAATAAGCAGGAGACTCACCTAGGCGATTTTGGGAACTGCTCTATGGGCACTCATTACTATGCTTAAAACCAGTACAAATAAACTTTAGATTATGAATGCATAGGTTTTAGTGGGATATAAGGACAAATAAAAAAAAAGTAAATTATTGCATAAGTCTTTAAACTTGCGGGACTGTACTGTGGTAGTTTTTATGTGTAAGTGCTACAGCTACTATGTAGTGTCTGCCCTTCAACCAGGGGAAAGCATGAAGGTGGCAGAGAAAGCCCAACACATTGTGTTCTCCAGACAGTCTGAGAGAAATGTGATTGTGTATGCACAGCAGAGCCAGAAGAGGCAGCCATCCATGCTGTGCCTTGAATGCTTTGGCTCTGCTGGTTCCATTCACCTCTCCATTCAAACCTGTGTTTCAAGAGACCTCTGCTGGAGGATTGCCTCAGAGCTGGTAAGCTGGGCTTCCTGTGCAGATCTGCTGAGGAAAGATAGATCTGTGTTGTTGTTTTGGTTTATTTTGTGTATCAACATAACATGCCTGACTGTAAAAAGTAAACTATGCAGAGAATCCATCTGCCCTGCTTACAGCTTTCATTTGGTTCTGAGGTGAGAACAGGGAGCGAGACGCCCCTGAAGACTTTGCTGTGCTGTCTCTGCTGGCTTCCCAGCTCTGTGAAAGAGGGATTCTGAGGACGATTCTGTACCTGGGCAGTAGCTCAGGACAAGAATTTTTCAATAGGCAAGTTGTGCTGAGAAGACTGAAGAAGCAGGCTAGGTGCTGAGTAATGTTGGGACCTGAGGCTAATATTGCAGAGTTGGATGGTGTAGAAATAGACAGGAAATGGCTGGAAGAAAGAACAGCAGATGTGTGTGCCTGAGCAAGCAGCTTGAGATTGATGTTGAAAAGGAAAAAAATATTAGGTGAAAATCATAGGTGAATGATACAGAAAATGGACTGGAGTACAAAAGAGATTGAGCTTCAGCTGAGCATGAATGCAGATACTGTAGTTCTCTTACGTGTGGAGGAAATTATTCCTGAACCCATTGGCAAAGTATCCATTCTTGTTATTGCTGGTTCACATCTCAGATGGCTCTTATTGCTTCTCACCAGTCTGTTCAAGTAGTGTGGTTTGCGAGGTTTGTGATTCTTAATATTGCAAACTTGTAGATGTGGTATTGTTAGGGTAGGAAATTATGTTAAAATCTTCCAGTTCTGTCACTTTAGTAGTGTTCTTTCAAAGGGAGCGTGGTATTTCTTTTTGACTCTCTCCAACCCCTTGCCTCCAGTATTTTTTTTTCTTGGCTGTTCTGTCCTCACCAGCCCATTTTCTCATAGGTTTTCTAAATTGTTTCTAAATGTGCTGTAAACCACACAGCATTATTGTTGGTCTCCTTTTGTACTTCATCCAGTTCAGATCTTCCATGTTCAGATCATATCCATGTTGTGGATAACTTCAGAGGAAATTACTCCAAGTAGGGTCTTCGTGGTTCTGGTAAAAACAGCTTAAGTTGTTTCTCTCTTACAACACTCCCAATAACGTACCTTCAAGGAAAAACTGGTTGAAGGAACTTTCTGGCCAAGATGAATCCCCAGGAAAAAAAAGTAGTTAGTTGAATCTTTTTTAAATAGGTAGTTTTAGGCTACAGTCAAGTGAGTGTGTGTGGAGGAACAGCAGTGCACAGCCACCATGCAGGAAAGGGGTGGGCAGGACTGCAGCTGCATGGGCTGGCATCACCTCTGGGTGTTGTGGATCTGCCCTTTAGCTGTTTGCCTCTTCCAAATGGAAATGGTGCTGGTCTTTTCTTCCTCCTAACTAAGTCAAACCGAACTCCCCTGGCATTCTGCTTATTTTTATCGCTGTGAAAGTCAAACTCATTTGCTTTTACTGTTCTTACTACTGCTGAATGAACAAAATATTTTCTCTTTGTGTTCCCTAGGTACGTTTCTCATATATGCGGATGAAGTATCTCTTCATCTCTTGGTTAGTGGTGTTTATTGGCAGCTGGGTTATGTACGTCCAGTACTCTACCTACACAGAACTATGCAGAGGACATGACTGTAGGAAAATAATAGTAAGTATGTTTAGCACAATTTGCTTCTTAAGTGTTTGCCTTGACTACTGTTTTGGTCAGTGCCATGCATAAATTCATCTAATGCTGCTATTCTGTCATACTGAAATCATACCTTCAATTACAGATAACACCAGTTAACACAGTTTTAATACAGTTATTAAAATTTTCTTTGACCTGCTCCGCTTCTTTTTTTTTTTTTTTTTTTTTTTTATTTCAAGAGTGAGATGTTGGAAGAGAGGTGGTTACTGCTTACTTGAGTGATTTGTTAAATATTTTTGTTTGTTTCAGTGTGATAAATACAAGACGGGAGTTATTGATGGATCAGCATGTAGTAGTCTTTGTGCAAAAGAGACACTGTATTTTGGAAAATGTTTGTCAACGAAGCCCAGTAACCAGGTAAGGCTTTAATCATCCATCCTAGCTTTATCAGTTCCTACTGAAATCGAGTCCTGTATGCAAGTGTTGCACCAGCTTTTTTCTCTTGGCTTCGATGAGAAACAGACTGCATGGCTGAGAGGCTAGAGGTTGTAATGTAGCATTTCCCTTCTGCAGGTTGTCGTTATAGGCACTTAGATAGAGAAGCTCTATCACAGTGAGAAGCAATGCTGTTCTGCTCCTAGTACACTCTTTGGACTTCAACGTGGCTGTGCTTTATGGATGGTAACTACTGTGCTGCAATCTGAGAGTGTTTGAAGCTGGTGATAGCTACATTGGCCCACCTCCCTGCGATTTGGACAAGCTGGCTAAGGCAGCAGATGTGATTAGAAGTGTTGCAGGCTTTCTTTTATTTGTGGGGCATTAAGCAGTAGCAACTTTTCTCATGAGGTGAATAATGCAGTTGCAGAAAGAGATGTGAGGATATCAAGACATACTCAGGAACAAGAACCAGCAGCCATAGCAATAGCCTCTGTGTAAGTTGCTGTAGCTACCTAACTGCAGTTTCACATCAAAGCCCAAGTATAGCACAGATATGTTATTGTTAGTTGCTCTTTTTCTCTGAATATATTTCATGAACGTATTCAGGTAAATATTTGATAATTGTGTTATATGGATCATTTCTGTTTAGTTGTAAACAAAGAAATATTCCACTGACTGGATCCTCGTGGACCTATATTTTAAACAAGCAGTAAATCTATAATTGCCATCAAGACTCTTTAATTTCATAGTTACAGAATCCAGTTTCCAAGGAGATGATCAGATCCTTGCACACTTGGACAGAGTAACTATACTTCTGTACAGCATACCATTTCTGCACTATCCTGCTTCTCAAACAAAATCAGCAGCCTCTTTGCCCAAACAAAGAATATAGTAATGCCAGTATACTGTTTCTCAAGCTGTCTTCATATTTCGATAGGGCAGTGTCTCCTAAGTCCCTGCATAATGTATGTGAAGCTGCCATTGTTGAATTTGCTGTCTGTTAGCAGGACTTGGTTTTCTAATCTGTGCTGTTGCTTGACCAGTTTGGATGATACTTAGGTGAAGGACTTGTACAGTGATTTTATCTTTTCCCCTATTTTCTTGCATAGATGTATTTAGGAATTTGGGGAAATCTGCAAGGGGTTATAAAATGCCAGATGGAAGAAGCTGCTCAGCTTGATTTTGGTACTGATCCAGAACCAAGAAAAGAAATAATCCTATTTGATAAACCAACAAGAGGAACCACTGTAGAGAAATTCAAGGAAATGGTATATGGTTTTTTTAAAGTAAGTATATGCCTAGTTATTCTATTCTGACTGAAGGGCTTTTAACAGTTGTTTACGCGTTAAAGTGGCTTTGTCTCTAAGATTGGGTGTGTAACAGATTTTTAGACTGTTTTTTAGGAGAAATTAGGAAATGTTTGCGTGACTTCTGCATGCATTGGTAAAAGTAGGAAATACAATGCTTCTGATTCCAACAATGGCTTTTTTCATTATACTGTTACAATGGAAATGGTTGTATCAAATAGCAGAATAAAGTATTTCAGTACATTTAGTCTGAGATTTGTGCCAAATATCTTGGTACTCTGTATGATAGTGTTATTTCTCTGCAACTGAGAGGCTTAATCAGCTGAAAACCAAATTCAGTCTGAATTCTACATACTTACTGTAAGAAAATATTTAATGAGCTACTCTGTTTTTCATCAGACCAGCCTTTAGAAAATGACTGTCTTTGAATTCTAGTCCTTGCATGATGAAATGCAAAGAATGTTGTTACTTTAAGATCATACACCAGATGCCTTGGAAAACAGAACAGAAAGGAAGCTCATCAGACATCTCTAAGCAATAAGAACTAGAAGATGATATACTCCCTGATACTAAAAGAATAAAAAAGATGGTGAATTACAGGTGGATTGGTGGTAGTTAATGAAATCATATATGATCTTTTTTGTTTGTTTCTAGGCAAAGTTGGGTGAACAGGGAAATCTTTCAGAACTGGTAAACATCATTCTATCTTTTGCCGATGGAAACAAAGATGGTAGAGTTTCTTTGCCTGAGGCAAAGTCTGCATGGGCACTTCTGCAGCTAGATGAGTTTCTGTTAATGGTGATGTTGCAGGATAAAGAGCATACTCCCAAGCTGATGGGTTTTTGTGGGGATCTCTATGTGATCGAAAGAGTTGAATATACCTCTCTCTACGGAGTCAGCCTTCCATGGATCATCGAACTTCTAATTCCTTCTGGATTCAGGAGAAGCATGGACCAGTGGTTTACTCCATCGTGGCCAAGGAAGGCAAAAATAGCTATTGGACTTTTAGAATTTGTGGAAGATATTTTTCATGGACCTTATGGTAACTTTCTTATGTGTGATACAAGTGCCAAAAACTTGGGATATAATGATAAATATGATTTGAAAATGATGGACATGAGAAAAATTGTGCCAGAAATGAATTTAAAGGAAATGATTAAAGATCGTCCGTGTGAATCAGATATGGACTGTGTTTATGGTACAGACTGTAGAACTCTATGTGACCAAAGTAAAATGCGGTGTACCACAGAGGTTATTCAGCCAAACTTGGCAAAAGTGTGTCAGCTACTTAAAGACTATCTGCTTCGTGGTGCTCCTTCAGACATCCACGAAGAACTAGAAAAACAACTGTATTTGTGTATTGCCCTTAAAGTCTCAGCAAACCAGATGGAAATGGAACATTCTTTAATACTCAATAACTTAAAAACATTACTATGGAAGAAAATTTCCCACACAACGGATTCTTAGTTTCTCCACCAGCAGAAGATACTGTGCCACTCGAGGTGGCCTACCACGTTTGCTAAAAATGATCTGCAGCATTTTGTAAAGACGTGTACACAGATTTCATGAATGGCTCTTCAACTCTTCCCTTCAGTCAGTTCCTTATTATAGGGCTTCTGAAAGGATGAACTTAACACCGAGTGACCTGGCAGAAGCCAAAAGCGCTTGTGGTGTTCCAGTGCACTATCTGGAAACAAAAACAATCCTGCATGCTTGACTGCTCTGTGCACTTTGTTGGAGCTTGAACAGGATGACAGTGTTCACTGTGCCATCACATCAAGTAATGCAACATCTTAAAATTCTGTGAAAACTGTTGCTCACTTGTGAAATACCTGCAAAAGATTTCTATGCCCAGTAGTTTTATGAGGAACCACCACTATTGCAAATATGGTGGCTGAGTCCAAGTTGCTGTTATGAATAAAATGAAATGAGATTGTTGTTTACTAATACCTTGGCATGGCAGAATTTGCACATTAGCAAACATTTTTAAACTGTGGAAAAATTAAAATTTTATTCTGGAAATGATAGATTGTAATATGAGATTTAAATTGAATTCTGTTTACACCTTGTTACCTCATACTTTCATCTTGAATGCTTCAACATTTTAGAAGTCCTGATACAGTACACCATGTTAAGAGCCAGGATTTCTAGAATGTTACTTGTTAGAACACATGTATTTTACATTTTCAGAAACACATTGATGCTAAATTATTTTTGAATACTGACAACAGAATCATCCTAAATTTTAAAAACAATCAACACCAAAAAAACCCTCCGCAGTAGGATGCTCGTTTATGACAAGTGAAAGAAATAACAGTCGTGGATGAAGTCTTATTACTGCCCACAGAAATACAACTACATGCTTGTACTTAAATCCTCCTGAATTATTGCAGAAATCATGCAAGTCAGAGCTAGACCATAACTGTGAGACAAGGTGGATTGCTCAGGACCCAGGAATATTGCTAAATGGGAACCCTGTGACTCGTAACAGTTAGAAGCAAGGTGGAATAACAGTGTTCTGCTGTTTTATTTTCCTGGTAATATATGAGTTGTAACGCTCAAGTCTTAAACACTGTGATCCAGGCACTGTACAGAGCGTGACCACTGCACCACCTTCAATCACCGACCCTACTGTTCTTCAGATTTTCATCTTATGAGATAACGCATGAAACAAAACACCTTAATGCTGTGCTTGCTGCATATGTTTGTAAGTGTTTTAGGGATGAAGCAGGTAAAAAGCCTTAGTGATTTTAATGGCAATTGTCCTTATCCCTTCAGGTAGCTGGCCCCTTTAATCAGTTACAGCATAGTAAAAATGAGCTTCATTTCATTATTTAAAACATGGTGTAGTTGCTTGAAGGTTCCATACTAAATGCATTCCTTGACCAACATCAGGGAATTTCCCCACACCATATGTAACAATGTGTGGCTTGGGTTAAGGGTGTGCTGTTTGTAATCAGCTTTTTAGTTGAAAAATTACTTACTGTTAACTATTATCTAATTTAGTATTTATAACTAGCAATGCACTGAAATCTAAAGCAGGATATTCTTGGTGAAAACACAACTAATTGCTACAATGTTTGGGACAAAAAAAAATTACAGAACCCAAAGTACTGGTGGGCATTTTGAACAGCTCCTTGGAAAAACTGGAAAACATGTAATAGTGCAGCTTACTATACAGAACCTTAATTTTTATTGCTGTTGCACCAAGCTGGAACTTTTGTTGAAAAAAAAAAAAATATATATATATACTTTTGTTTACAATTAATAACTGACTTCCTATTTTTTTTTCCAATAGCTATACTTCCCATCTATCAGTATCATAAAGCTAAGAGTTCATCAGTGTATCCTACTTCGTGAAAGTATGCAAGCAATTTTAGTATCTCAGTGTCACAGACAGCTGTAGAATAAGGCAAGCTACAACCTCTATAATTAAGCAAATACATTCAACTTCAGAGTAAGTTCTCTTGTTTAATCCCTAAATAATAATAGAAAATATTTCATCTTAAGATAGTACCTGCTTCAGTACCAGCCAGAACCTTTAAGTACTTATTTCACTTTGTGGAGGAATGTTCAATGTGTGAATGTGTACTGCTGTCAGCTATACTCATTTTCAGTCTGGGAAGCACTACTGTTCATGTAAGCTTAAGGCTATCTACAATGGAGGTTTGTTTTCCTTAAGGTATATATACATCTCTCATAGCATTACATACACTGAAATTGTACAGAATTGTCAAGTGCCTGTAAAGGTTATTTATTTTTAATTTAAATCATCCTCTAGTTAAAAGGAACAAATTCCACCTAGTCACACTATAAATTAATCAAAATTATTTCCCCTTGCTATGGAAGTAATTCTAGTGTAGTAGCTTTGTCTTTACCACTTACCTTCATTGAATGAGTTCATATTTTAAAAAAAACAAAAAACTTTAAGGCTCCAGAGTACGTGGATTATAAAAAATATTCTGATCTTTAAGTTGTATTAATAAGCCAGTCTTACACAGTTGCTTAGTCAATAAATTTATTGCCACTTTTTCCAAAGCTTCATAGAAAACTGTGGAAGTTGTCTTAACTATCAGCTGCACGCTCCTGGGCCCTGAGGAAGCTAGCCTTCTTCTGAGCAACACGATCTTTCTTCTGGGCGAGGGACATCTTAGTACTGTTCACTCTGCAAACACACAGTACAATACATTAACCAAAGCAGAAAGAGGCACAAGTGGTGATGAAAGAAGCTGATAGATAGCAGAACTGTGACTAAGAATTCTGTGCTAGAACATAGTACCACTTCTGTATCATGCTCTATTTCTCAAGTTCTTTAGTCAAGGCACCACAAAAAACAGTTTCTCAGAAGGTAAGCTCTTAGGTGACTAGGCACTATCATGTCCATTCCAATATCTGTGCCACTTCTGAAAAAATTGAAATAGTTTAGTACTGACACATAAGTCAGCCTTGCCCCTGAAAACATTCAAGTGTTAAAATACACACTGAAAGAATTCCAGCTATTCAGGCCAAAGACATGCTTTACTGCTCGTTTGTTGTTTTTTTTTTTTTGCACAATTAAAAGCTTTTTCTTTCCTGACAAAGTTACATATAAATCACTGTATCTTAATCTGACCTAAAAATGAGTTTTGACACAAGTGCCATGGACATCAGTCCACTTGGTGCCATCATTAATTAAAATCTCTTCAGAGAAGTTATATTCATGTTTACCTCTTTTTCTTGACTTCTCTCTTGGGTTTCTTTTCATGGACTGGATTATCCCGTATAGCAGCATGGGCTTTCTTATACATTTCTTCCATCTTGAAAAAGCAAAAGTTGTTACAATTCTCCAGTGGTGCATTGCAAGATTGTATCAAATTGTAAGATATTCTCAGCAAAGAGGGCACTAGGAGCCAGTTATCATCACAATACAGCTTACAATTATTCCCTTTAATAGGCTTTCTTCATGTGCATCACTGTTAAAACCTACTAGAATTCCTGGCCATCACAAGAAGTATATAAACATTTAAATATTAAAAATAACAACTTGGATACAAAACTGAGGAATTACTTTTATCCTTAACTACAGACAACTTTCAGGTCTCCTAAGTACAGGCTAGCATCTTGCAGAGAAAGAGCTTACTTCCTAGGGTCTAGTTTCCTTACACTTAAATTGAAAGGCAATACAGAATCTTATTCTACTTCTGCCTTGAGTAAAAGAAAATAATTTACTTTCCTTATACAGCTTAGTGCTCTGAAAACTTAGTTTTAACCAGAATTATTTTACATGAACCTTTTCATCAGATGCTATCTTACCACCTGTAAGATTCTACCCCAGTATACATTACAAAGCTGCTTAGTAAGAAAAGTTGTGTGAAAGCAGCTTTTAATTAATGAATCACATGAGATCCTGCATCATCCTCAGTAGCAGCAGTCTGCTAGCAACCTCAGAAATACATTAGCAAAGGTTACATCGAAACAGTCATTTCTGACAGCTAATACAGTACTGTAACATACAGGCCTTTGGGAAGTAGGTCAGTATGCAGAAATAATTCTTTAACATGTGAACAGGAAAACCAATCTGTCCAGTTACATAGATCAACAGCTGAAGCTACCAGAGGACCCTATTCTGCCTCTCCCCAATTTCAGTATCTTTGCTGATGACTAATTAAGACACTTAGACACTTAATAGGAAAATCTTCTCTGAATACTTGTTTAGTAATATATACAAAGTTGATATTTACAGTAAAATGTTACTTATTTTTTTACAACCCAAAAAATCAACATAAAAATGTTCCAAACTTCAGAGCTGCTGATAATAGAAACCAAACAGCAGACAAGTCATCTGAAAGAAGTTAAAAAAGCACCATGGTAATTTTACCAATTCTCTAGTGTTTTCTGTGATATTTTAAAATTTTCAAGTCATGCTGACATAAGACATATAACACGAGGTGTATTTCTTAAGATAGTGAGTTCTGCAACAGAACTAGGTTGGGATTTTCTGTATTTGCCTGGAGCCTACAGCTACCATTAAGGTCACACGTTTAAAACAGATCTGACAGAAGGCAGATTCTGAGAAATCACAGCTGCAGAGCAGGATTAGGAACAAGTGAGTAGCCATGCACAGAAACTTAAGTGTTAATTTCTGTATCAGAAAAAATATACGGTCTGTTTTAGGATGCAGTCCTAAATAAGCAGGATGTTAAACTTCAAAACAGGAAAGAAGCCCTCATGTTCAAAAAATCCACTATATGCTATAGAGCCCTCAATAAAGGAAAAAAAAAACAACATTTTCATCCGTCTGGAGAACATACAAAATAATCACATTACTATTTTACATATTGAACTTAATTGCATTATTAGAGAAACCCTGTACGTGAAGATCTACATTGCTACTAATGGACAAGAGCCAGACAGATAAATCTTACCCCATCAGGTGTAATATTGTTCTTTATGTACTGGGAGAACTGTTTTTTGTAAGCATCTTCATCCTCCTCCATCAGGTAACGCATATAATCTGCCACATTTTGGCCCATAATATGTTTGCGGTGAACCTCTGCATTGAATTCTTTGCTTTCTGAGTCATAACCAGGGAAACGTTTGGTACTGTGAAAGAGCAGTTAAATTCTGAGTAACACATATTCCTCAAACACTCTGATTCAAAGACAGGTTCCACAAAGAAATGACCGAGATCATAGTCTGCTATAGGTAACTGAGAAATAGGACACTAATTAAAAATGGAAAGATAAAGAAAATGAATATAAAGTAAAAAAAAAGAAGCAGAAGTTTTGGAGTTCATCTCAGCTGCCATCAGTCCCGTCTTGAAACCATGCAGTCCATCATTTACACACCATGGACCTACTACAGAGTGGTCAGTCATTGGGGTATCATCACACAGCAGCCAGGTCAGAAACAAATGAAGAATTAGTAAAAACATATAAAAAGACAAAACAAAAACACAAATAAGAAAACACAACTCCAGGACAGCAAGAGAGAATATAGAAATCCACAACAGAGATCAGATGTTTTTTCCCTACTTTGCTGTCTGAAAGAAGCAAGCAAGTGTAGTGTTACTGCTACTGCCAAAAATCTTGATTCAGTCACGTGTTACCTCTGACAAGAATGACCAAACCTCAAATGGAAATTTTTAAGTGCGGGAGGACTACTTAGAGCTGCTACTGTCTCGATAAATGTGGGAAACACCAGTGGTTGGTTTGGGATCTCATATGTACACACAGCAAAATTAACACCTACACAAAATGCTGAAGTCTTGAAACAATGGGAAAACTAATGAATATTTACTGAAGTGCATTCAAACACCAGATGATTGTAAGTGAAAGCAGTGAAGTGGTTCCTTAGTTTCTGAAAATTTAACAGCATCTCTTTAAAGTCACAAGATTCATTGCAGTGCTACTAGAATTGCAACTTTTGAGTAAAAAAAGCCCAACTAAACAAAAAAAAAAATCCAGAACCCATGCTAATCATTACCAGATTATAAAAATAGCTATTTCAGCATAAAAGTGACACTATAAGTAGGCTGTCACACACACAATTATCTCAGGTAACTCTAAAGTAGTTTTTCCAGAGAGATGGTTACCTGTGAGGGATGGACAGACCACCATCCACTGCACCCTTCAGAGCACCAAAAACTTTGTTTCCAGTAGTAGTTCTGGCAAGACCTGCATCAAGGTAACATGTGAAAGCACCAGGCTTTCCATCCACGCTTTCCACATTGTATTCATCTCCAGTCACTTCAACTTGGCCTTCATAGATCTTATCAAGACCAAATTTATTCAGAAGCTGTGGGGAAAAATGAAAGCCAAAACAATAGGAACACTTCTGAAATTCTGCCCATTTAAAGCCAAAATGGAGAATCGCCAAATTAAAACACAAAAGTTGCAACAGAATCTTTGTACTTTCAACAAATTTCTTTACAAAAATTACGCATTCTATACTAGTATTAATGCTTATAACAACTGAAATATAACAGGCATGTTTATTGCAATCTCCTGTTCAACAGGCACACTAATAAACTTCAGACCTATCCAAGCTCATAGGAAAATGGATGAATACAGCTCACACGTATTTAAATTCTTACTGAAGGTACATTTCTTACATTTTTGTCCTGACTCCCTCCCTCCACCAAACTTAAGTGCAGAGACTTAAAAGTGGGCTGCCGGAGTTGAAACTGCATGTTGTCATACTTCTCTTTGTGATTTGACAGTCACAAGAGGCCATCAAATCTATACGGTAAAGAGTACAAGTTAGCATTGAGACAAGCCCATAGAATCTGATATCTATATTACCAATACCACTTAAGACAGTGAGCTAGCTTTCCCATTTTTAAGAAAAACAGAGCAACTACTTCCAGACAATTTGACAGATACCTACCCTGCGTGCCAACAGCAGACCTGTACAGTATGCTGCTGCATAATTGGTCAGGCCAACCTTCACACCATATTTTGGCAGCTCATGGGCATAAGCAGCACAGACAATCATGTCGCCTTCAATCCTGGCATAGGCAATCTGACAACGTAAAAAAAAAACAACACAAAACAACCATTAGTTTTCTCAATGAAACTGTGGGCTCAGTTTACCACTTCTTTGACATCTACTTAAGCCAATAGGAACTTTGTATAGAAATGTCCAGCAAACTGCTTTTCTTGAGAGCTCAAGGAGCTCTGTTTCATTTTTCTTTTCAGAAATTTCTTATGGCGTAATTAACTCCTTAAGTACTTGAAGCATTCAAATCCATATTTGGCTTTGAGAAAGTAAATGATGGCAACCACTTTTATTTAAGTCTTCATATAAAACAAGAGACCAGGAAACTGCCAACAAAAGCAACACTTCAAAGAATTTTTACATATGTAGATGGATTCTGTCCTAGTTTCTGCACGTAGTTCTCAAATAACACTGAATGCAGCTCATGTCTGAAAAATGCAAAAATATGAGTGTTTGTAAGGACACTTCATTCCAGAGTGACTGCATTAAGATATAAGATCCTGGTAATCTTGGGGGTCTCCTGTGAGACAGTGATAATATCAGAACCACTTCCCTTTGACTTCCACTCTTCCTCTGCCTTTAAAAGTTGCTCCCCTCTCTCCAGAGTTCCCACCTCTGGAAAGGCACAACTGGTCCGATGGTACCTGCCACCACTTTTTGTTTTGAATTTCAAAGATAAAGCAAGCTCATCAAGGTCGTATAGTTTAGTCTGAGCTGATTAAAAACGGCACTTCTTTACTATTCTCCATAGATAAAACTATTTAGTGAAGAAAGAAACAAGAAAACTTTCCATCTTCAAGCTTAACAATATGTGTTATGCTAGAACATTCTGGAAATGAACCAGGAAAATGAATCACAGTGAGAAATTGCATTATGTGATGCAACATACAACCGTGTACCACAAAAAGGTGCTTACTATTCTTATTTATCAGTCTCCTTTAATCTCAGTGAAATGATCTTAAGGCCTATGTGCTTCACATGACCCACGTAATATCACAGTAAGAAGTCCTGAAAGTGAGGGCACCTTCAAATACTACATAACAGAAGTGACCTGACAGGTCACACAGCAGTTCTCAAGCAAACAAAAAAAAATCTCTCTTTTCAAAGCACTTCAAAGACAGCAGAAAAGATAAAAAAGTTTTTCCCTAAAACCTTCAACATATTTCAGCACGATTAGAAGAATGCAATCTCATATCACAACCTTGTTTTACAATGTTGACATCAGTAAAATTACTCTGTATTGTGACTATGGTGTATTACTGACACCGTGTCAACCTTAAAGATCGTTCTCCAAGAAGCCAAAGAGCAATATTAGAACTGCTTAGGCATCAAAACAACCAGCAAGTGCCTCATCAATCCCCCTTTTCTGTTCATTTCTGGGAGGCTGACAAATAAGCAGCAAGCACCACAGACCTTACCTGGCAAATGATGTCTCTGTTAGTAACACGCACAATCATCCTATACTTTGGGGTGTTGTACTTGTTTTTATCCTGAATTACCAAACGCTTGCGAGCATAGTAATCCGTTTTTCCCTCTGAAAAACAACAGGTACAGTTTGGAAAACGTGTTAAACAGAAGTAACAATATTTGTCAATATAATGTAATTCAGCAATATAGGGAATTGAGACATACCTCTCCTTCTCCTGAATTTTACTTGGTATCTCTTGAAGTAGGCCTTATTCTTGACAACTTTCACAAACCCCTTCAATAAGAAAAATAAGATGTTACTAACGTAAGCCAAGGCCATCCAAGCTAAATGAATCGTTATTAATAAAACTGCAGTGGATCAGAAATAAAGTGACAGATTTTCCTACGCAATGAGATTAAAACCATCTTAAGGAAGAGAAAGCAGGATTTTTACCCTTCACACAAACTTTTCCGCCCATGACTTCACGTTTTCAAGAGAGAAAGAAAATTCGTGTCTATTAACGAAACGTTTGTCTGCACAGACCGCCACAACTACTCTCTGCCGGTCACTCCCCCAGGGCCGGTCCCTCGGCCCTTTCACGCGAACTCCCCCAGCCAAAACCCCGAGGAGCTGTCCTAGCACCGCCCCGACTCAGCCGCCCCCCACGCCCGCAGCTCTCATAGCAGCACCCCGCGGCAGGACAAGGCCGGCCCGCCAGCCGCCCGCTCCCCAGCCGGGCGCCACCCGCGTCACAGCGGGCCCGGCCCCAGCTGCCGCCCGTCCGCCCGCGGCTCCCGCTCGCCGCCACGCGCCCGAGGCCCGGGCTCGACCCAGCGCCGCGCCGGCCGCGGCCCAGGGCCGAGCGGCGAGGGGCTGCGGGGGAACGGGGACGGATGGGACGAGCCGGACCGTGCCGGACCCCGCAGGGCTCCGCCGAAGCCGCCGCGGGCGGCCATCGCCACGCTGGAGCCGCGGCGGCCGGCGGCGGGCCCGGGTCAATCGGGCTCCATCCGGGCGAACGGAGTCGCGCGGCGGGCGCGGGGCGGAGGGCGGGGCTCTCCTACGGCGCGGGGGTCCCGTATGGGCCGGTACTGACCATCGTGCCAGGTACTGTCCGGTCTAGGCCTAGGCCGGGGCCCGCTCCGCACGACGACTGCAACGATTGCAGGGGGGAAAAGGCCGCTCCCACTGCGCAGCCGCAGGTCCTAGCCTGCCCGGCGAGGCGGGGCGCCGCCGCACGGCCTTCCCTGAGCCCGGCGCGCGCCCCCTGCCGGCCTGGAGGGGCGCTCGCACCGCGCCGCCGCCTGGGACGGGGTCCGACCGCCGCGAGGCCCGAGGGCGGGAGCGCTCCTCGAGCGCCACAGGTGTGGCGGGCGCGGGAAGAAGCGCCGCCCGCCGCCCCGCGGTTCCCTACCGCCTGCCTCGGCAGCGGCCGGCACGGGGCGCGTGGCAGCACAGGATAAAAAGCAACGGTCTTGACATTAAAAATCTTTGTCGTAGAAATATTAAGTACTTTGTTCACTTTTTTTTCCCTAGGGAACGTTGTCGCGGCTGTCCGATCAGCAAATAGCTAGAGCGTTAAGCTGACCAAAACCAATGAAATGCTATTGCTAAAATAGAGCTGCTGGTATTTGGTCGAGGAAACCAAGAGCACGTGACAGCTGCAGCCGGAGAACGACGGAAAGGAGGGAAGGAAGAAAGGAGGGAAGGAGGAAGCTCTCCTCGGTCAGACAGGAAGCGGTGCGATCCCGCACTCGCAGCTTCGCATCGCTCGCCTCCCGCAGCGGCAGCTCGGCGCTCGCCCCGCTCTGGGAGGCCGCCGAGCTCCCACGCCCCGCCCCGCCCCGCCCTCACAAATTCGAGGCCTCGCACTCCCGCCCGCGATGCCGGCCGGAGCCATGGCTGCGGTTCGGAAGGGCTCTGGACTCGCTGAGGTAAAAGCTCCGATTTTTGACGTTGTGCTGACGTAATTCTTGCAGGTGACTTGTAGCAGCAGGAGGAGCGTACGCGTGCGTTCTCTGAGCGCGGTTTCTCAGTTCGCGCTGTTTGCGGCGCGGTGCTCTGGTGAGCTCGGGGCGCGGGGCCTGCGGCTGCGCCCTCGGAAACCCGCTGCCCGCCCGGGCCCGAATAGCCGCGTCCCACGGAGTAGCCGCGCGTCTGCTGGTAGCGTTCTGCGGCTCCGTGTTTTAAGCTTTGAGGGGAGTTCTGTCAAACAAGGACTCCGACTTCAGCCCGGAGCTGCTCGCGCCTCTCTGTGGGAGCGCGGCGGCAGGCGAGCTCGCGCCGGAGCTGCCCCGGGCTCCGCAGGGTCGCCGGGAGCGTCACCGCGGTGCGGGCGGCACCGTGGCGGCTGCCGGGCGGGCGCTACATCGGCACCGGGAGGCACCGAGACGGAGCGGGCGCGGAGCGCCGAGACGCAGGCGGCGCGTCGTGTGGCGGGCGGCACGCGGAAGCCGGCGGCGGGAAGAGCCGGGCCGAGGGGAGGGCCGGGCCGCGTCGCGTTTCGCCGCCGCGGTGACGGGGTGGCGCGGAGCCGAGGGGAGGGCTCGGCGGACCCGGCCGCCACCCGGCTTCGCGGCGAACGAACGGGGGCGGCTCCCGGCCGCCGAAAGTAGCGCGGCCCGTCATCGGCGGCCACGCGCGGGGAGCCCGGCGCCGGCCGCGCCCGTGCCCGCGGCGGCGCGAGAAAGAGGCCCCGGCGGGCCGGGCCCGGCGCTGCGGGGGCGCGGGGCTGCCCGTCGCGGCGGCTGCGCGCCGAGTGCGCCTGCGCGGCGCTGGCAGGGACGTGGCCCGGCTGCCGGGGACGACGGGGACGGCGGGGAGGCGGGCCGGAGGGGGGGCGGGAGGCGGCTCGGCGGAGGTCGGCGGCGGGCTCCGGGGCACGCCGATGCTCGCACCTCTCCGCCGCGGGCGACGCTTCCAAGGTGAGGCGCGGGCGGGGCGCCCCCGCCGCTGAGGGGCCGGGGCGGGGGCCGGGGGCGGGGCGCGACGGGGCCTAGGCGGGGTGCGGCGGCCCGGCCGCGGCGCCCATCCCGGAGAGTCGGGTCGGGCGGCGCCGCTCCCGGTCCCCGGCGGCCCGAGCCGCTCGGCGTCGGGTTCTCTCCGCCGCGGGGTGCGCGCTGCGAAGGGCGGCCGGACCGGGGGCCGCGGGGTCCGTGTGCCTCGGCGCGGCCGGGCGGGAAGGTGGGCGCTGCGGTGCGAGTGGGGAAAGCGTGACTGCGCGGGGCCGGCGGCGCTGGGTGGTGAGAAGGAGGAGCGCTCGCCTTTGGTCTGCGGTGCGCTCGTGGGGGTTTATCTGTGAAGGGAGATTTTTCTCGGTCACGTTTTTACGGAGGTATTGTTAAGCAGGAGCGTTTGGGTGCGTGGTTGGTGAGGAGTTTTCAAAGGGTCCTTCAGAGGTCTGTCTTAGTGACACCTCGTGCTGCATCTGCACCGACTCGGTTGTGTAATAAGGGCGAGAAGTCGATGTTGGTGTGGTGGCTATTTAGGGTTCATTTCAACTTCGGTATCCAGAGGTGTTTTGTAGTCACGCGGAATTCCTGCTCGTTTCCTGTGTTGCTGGTCAGAGAGCAATTTGTGTGAGGTTGGCATGGTGTTTGGAATTGTCAGTATGAGCCGAAATAAACAGCAAATTTTAAAACATTCTCATATTGTCTTGGGTGAGTTTTTCGTAACAGGTGGCCTACAGGAGGTGTAGGAAGGAGTCACATCTGTACAGAGAGGATCTGGCAGCAGTTAGTGTGTTTTACTTATCTCTGAAAGCATTTGTCAGAAAACTCTTTTCCCCCCCAACATTTTTTTTTTATTCTTTTGGTGGCTAAAAGATAAGGTAATTGGATTCTGGGCGAATATTTTGCTTAAATGCATGTATTTATTCTCCCTTCTAGCCTCTATGGTTATGCAGCTCTGAACTTACATACAGGTGTCAATATTTAAGAATATTTTGAGATAGCTAAGCGTAATTTCAAGTAAGGTTAGGAGAGGAAATAGAGGATTATGAAAGGGGGACACAGTCAGGAGGAAAACATTAGCTATTATGAATCAGCATTGCCTGAATTTGATTAAGCTGGGATGAGGACAGCTGTGGTGAGTATTCCTGAGGTCCAGCCAGCCCAATAGTGCCTCTGAGAGTAGCAGATGTTTGCAGAAGAACAACTAAAAACAAGAATCTGCTTCCTCCTCAGATCTCTGAGCTCTGAGCAGTCTGAGGCTCAGGCACTTCCTGAGCCAGAGGTCAGTGTTTTGGATTCTTTGCGTTTTTTTTTTTTCATTGCCTTCTGTAGGCTTGTCCGATGGGTTTTGAGAAAGTAAGCAGGAGATGGCTGGTGAATGGTGATGGAATAGGTGAAATGGAGTTTACGAAGAGGAGGAGGTGGGAGAAGCTTTTCAAAGTTGACAGGAGAAGGGGTGGGGAAAAGTGAAGTGCTTAAGTAGTTAGTGTCAGCTGCTTCTTTGGATAAGGCTGAGGGAGAAGTATTTGAAAAATGAAAAAAGGGGGAAGCGAAGTCCCTTCTCAGTGGATTTTGAAAAAGCAGGGCTCTATCTTGCTAATTCAGTGTTCTCATAAACAGTCGTGTAAAAGGAAAAAAGAAAACATGGTGGTTCTTTGCTCAAACAACTTTTTTCCTGAATTCAGTATTTTTCCCAATTTTTTTAATAATTAAAATATGTTTTTAAATGTAAAAGCAAACTGTCAGTACATAAGTTTATAATTTTGATCTGTTAAATAAATCCTCTGAGGTTTTAACTATGTGATGGTGTTCTAAGATGGCATGCTGAATTAAAGCCCTATGTCTTATTTACCTTGTGAAAACCAACATCGTCTGTTGGTAAATTTTTGGTTAATTTAAATGGGGAATACTGTCTTCATTGTAGTCATCTGCCTTTGGTTAAAGAGTGTCTTGTCCTTCTGCTGCAAGTGGTGGTTGGGATAACTGGGGGTTGGCATCTGGGAGGGTGGCTTAGTCATAATGGAGGGGGACTTAGCTTTGCTCAGCTCACGTTCAGCAGGGAGGTATTCCTGTTGTTTACATACACGCTTAGCAAAAGCTGCATGCCCACAAGGTAGAGGCGGAAGCGATTTAGTGAAGTCTGACTTATCCTTGATTGCTGTTAACTTGTTTAACAGCCTAAGAACTCTGGAAACTATTGAGTTAGCTGGGAAGGAGTGTTTTGGGGAGAGCCTAGGAAATATCTGTTCTGATTTGAGCGGTGAGGAACATGAGTTCCTTTTGGTCATGTTGAGAGAGAGACTGCAGTGGCTGTTACTACAGGCTGTATTAACTGTCAACTTTGCTTGCTAGTTTTCTGTAAAACTAACACTTCCAAGTTGGGTTGAGGCAGTTACTGTGTATTTGGGGTTGAAGTGCAGTACCGGGGTTGGGCATGTGGACTAAAATGAAGATGTTGGCTTAGAGAGCAACTGTGGACACTTAATCTGCTTGTATTCCTTCCTAACTTGGGAAACAGCCAAAAGCTGCTATCGAGTGTTATTTTTTGTCTGAGCAAATTTTGTCTGTCTCTGTAGTATAGTATTAAATGCCTGCTTGATGACATCATAAAGCATTCTTGATATATATTTTTTTAATTTTAGAAAATATTAATATTGTGATGACACAGGTCTCTGATTCACCAGTATCATACACTGCATTAATGCTGGTGTGGGTTGTTTTTGTTTTTTAAATATGGTTTCTTCAGACTGTCAGATGGAGCTTGTCTTTTACTAGTGGGTTGCTAGTCAGAATTTGGCAGTGCACTTGTAACTAGCAAGATGTTATGGGAAGAGCTTACTGTTACCTTTATGAGAGGAAAAACTACTGTATGTCATTTAAAATGGGCATCAAAAACTAGTAGCTAGTCACAACTAAACATGTGGAAAGTGCTTTTTTCCACTGTGTAAAGTGATGTATGTAAGAACTTAGCTTTACATCTCTGAGGTGCTTGACTTAGATATAGTTTGAATGGCAGACGAGTAAAAAACTACTTTCAGACATAGTGAAAGAATTTCCAACTTAATTTCCTCTGAAACAGCAGAGCTAAAATTCATTGAGCAAAGCAGTTGTGTTTCCTAATGTTATTTTAATTTTTATTTTGTCTTGGAACATATTAGTGGTGGAACTTTCAGGGTTCTGCTCCAGCTTTAGCAAGTATTTCTTAGACATTTGGGCAAAGAATTGCTAGATATTTTTAAAGACAAAATGATGGCTGCAAGTTAAAATTCTGTAATAAAGTACATACCAATCACCATATAGACTTGGGAGTTTTATATAATGTTTTTTTGTCTCACTGGCACTAAGGATGATCTTTTGCTTTGTTGACCTTTCTTGCAGTTTTTTCCATTTATTAGTGGACTTGTCCTACTGAAAAGACTTGGGAAGTTGGTGATTGAGGTGAAAGCTGGTGAGCTCTAGCAGTGGTATTTCTGACTATTGGTAGGTGATAATATGAGAAAAATCAAGAATATGTGAGCAAACCAGCACTCTTCTCAGTCTTGATCTGAATTGAGTGAAAGAACTGGGAGTATAGAAGATGCAGATGCAGCCTGTAGTGGAACCATGTTTGAGTCCTAAAGTAGGATTTTAGCTTGTCAGGAGGCACAAAAACAGCCTGATTCACCAGCTGCTGCTTCTGTATGTCCTTTGCTCAGTCGGTTCAGTTTGTTATTCAGGTATTAGAACGTTACTAACTTCTTGAAGCAAGCAGGGATCTGGGTTTGTGGAATGCTGTACAGCTTGCTTGAAAACTGTGTATATAACTTCAACCATAGTTGTGTTAGACTTCCTCTTTATATACGGAGTAGTATGAGAATTACTTCTGTTTCCTTAGGAAGAGCAGAAAGGGTAGAGAACACATGAGATATATGTAGCAGACATTAAAATGTTAGTATTTGTTAAGGCTTGCAGTTATTTTTACTTTGTCGTACAGCAACAGTAGTTGAAACAGTATTTCTGATAATTGAGACACCCATAGCTTTAATACATGTTTCTTTCAGGGGAATGCAGAGTATTGGTCAAACTCAGTGTCTGCAGAAGTGTGTATGTAGGTTGCTCTGAAAGTAATGCCTCCTGTTTGTTTCCATGGAAACTGCAGCGGCACAGTGACGCTATTTTTCAACACAGTTGCCACTGTTAGCTGTGTGTTTTAACCAGCAATGAACGAGAACCTGCATGCTGTGCTCAAAAATCTACTCCAGCCAAGTGGTTTGGGGGGTTCCTTGGTGTGGGCTGAGAGCTCAGTTTGTGTTTGAAGTGTGATTAATTGGCGGGCTCTTAAGGGAGACCTCTTTGGGGAAGCAAATGTGTTCTCAGAGTTGATTGAGTCTGTGGTTTTGCTCATGCAGAAATAATGATGATCAGTAATGTTTTGGTCATCTGAACAGTCCTCTAGATTTGGTGTGCATCCCAGGTGTAGTGGATTATCTTTTCTGCTTTTCAAATTTAACTTGAAATTCAGCATCTGAAAAATGCTGATTTAACTGCTGTCTTGTTTTCTTTACTGTACCTTCTCTTAGTATTCTTCACCTAATCTATTCCTACAGACTTTTACGTGATTTTTTTAATGCCCTGTGCTCTGCTGCTAAGTAAATTTTAGGGTTTTTTTCCTACCTTCCCATCCCCTTCAGATCCCTGAACTCAGAGTGTGAGTCTTGTGTAAGTGGTACTCAGCTTGAATTTACTTTCTCACCTTAAGTCATCTTAATTACTTTGCTTTGTAGTATATAATCCATTTGTATCTCCTTACTTCTCCCTGCTTCTGTCACAGTGTGCAACTCTAAAACAATGCTTTTCTAATATTTATATGTGGATATCTGCTCAAAACAGAAGTGTGACTTCTGGCAGTTGTTTGCTGTATTCTTAAGATTGTTCCTGTTTCTGCCAATGTTTATTTCTGGAGTAGTTGTGTTGCTTGTCATGTTTGAAGCAGTAAAAAACCTTTGAGAAAATACTCAGTCCTCTCACCAAGTGACATGCATGTGTTGTCTGTATCATAAATCTGTTCCTTAAAATGAAACATGAATAATTTGCGCTTCAATAGCAATAGACTGAAATATTAATGACTATATTAAATTTGAGTCTGAACTATGTACCTTATCTTCTTTTGTTATAAAAAGTGGTGTTGAAACACCAGTTTTGAAAGTGAATCTCCAAGTGAGCTTTAAAATTTTTTTTTTTTTTAGTATTGTAATACTAGAAAGGACAGAAGGAGTTGCATAGGAAAGCCTAAGTGGTGCAGGAACCAACTGGAACGTTTCAGATGCTTTTTTGGGGGGTCTGTAGCAGAAATGTTAAGTCACAGCTTGAAACAGTGGTTGAGCACCTGGTGGAAGGCAGGGCCAACCCAGAGGAGCTCAGCTGCATGCAATGCACCTGAGTGACTGGGAGGGGTGGAGCTTTGCACCCCCCTGTTACTGCTGTGTTCTATCACATGGCATTACAGGGCCTTACTGTTCACACTTGTGGTTTGTAACCCTGCATCTGAGTATTTCTAGCAAAACCCATTATGCTTTTCAGAGACAATATTAAGCGTACAGAACTTAACTTTTTTCTATGTGCTGGCAGATGCTAAAGAATCCTTTACTTTGGTGTAAATCAGAATTGTGGTGCACCTGTTCCTCTGCCTCACACTGTAGAGGATTTCTGTTATATGCAAACAGAAATCAGGGGAGCTTAGGATTTACGCTGATATATTCCTGCTGCTTCTCTATCAGTTATGAAGTAGTTGACTGCTTCCTTATCTATCTTTCTGCATGTCCTGTGCTGTTGTTATCTTCTCAATATGTTTTAAAAAGTAGTGGATTTTTTTTCTGTAGTGGGAAGTTTGATCTGACCTGTGGTGTTTCTGTACTGCAGAAACCAGTTGTGTTGAACAAATTCCTCTGTATCTTTCTTGTGTATTAGCAATATAGTTGCATGTTATTTCTTCTGTAATACTGAATTTCTATACAGCTTGTATTGCTTCTGACAGTTTTGGGTCTTCTGTGGAAATAAACAATCCCAATGTCAGTTTATGCATATTGTATCTTTTCCCTGTTCAGTGGAAGCAGGTTGACTGAAAAGATGAAAAAAAACTACACACAACTGTTGCAGCCTCTTCTTGTTGTCACAGGTGGCGACAGACAAGGTTGCAGGCAAGCTGAGCTCTACTCTCTCATGGGTGAAGAACACTGTATCGCACACCGTCAGTCAGATGGCCAGTCAGGTGGCAAGTCCATCTGCCTCCTTACACACTACATCCTCCTCTACCACTCTGTCTACACCTGCATTATCACCATCCTCGCCGGCACAGCTGAGTCCAGACGACCTAGAATTACTGGCTAAACTTGAGGAGCAGAACAGGTAAATGCAAAACTTCTCGATCTACAGACTATAGTAATAAGATTGAATTGGTTTATTGTAGCTTCAACATTGAGACTGTTAAAGTAGGTTGCTGTTCATGGTGCAATGCCTTAATTTTAAGGTTAAGAATTAATGTTCTAGAGGTGTATATTCTTGAAGAATCTGTTTTTGTAGAACGTTCAAAAGAGTTAGCTTTCTGGTTTTAAAGAAGTGCTTGTAACTGCTGCTTATTCTAGAAATTTACATTGAAGTCACATGATATTCAGTATCCCAACTGAAATGGAATATCATAGGAATGAGACCTCTGTGTAATTTCCTCACATTCTTAGATAAAAATGGTATTTTTATAGGCTTTTTGAAATGTGAACTACCTCAGAATTCCTTTGTTTTCCTTCTTGATTTTCACGGTATAACCTGCTCACATGTAGCCTTTTAGTGTGTTACCCTTTTAGCTATGATGATGTACATGGAACAGGATTTTCTGTTGGAAATACTAGAAAAGTAGAAGCTGCTATTCTGCTATTTAGTTTAAGAGTTTGAGCAGAGTTCTTCAGTTTATATTCTGTAATTTAGTCTGCAGCTCGGGTCATTTCATACAGGTACAGCTAATAAAGGAGGCTTTGCAGTTTCTTCAGTGTTATGGCTGGAGGCGTATTCTTACAGATAGAAGGTGTGTTGTGATTTTTGCTGTGCTAGTAGCCATTTAAAATTTATCGAAAGAAGAAAAGGAGGTAAATGGAGTGCTTTTAAGAAAGCTAATTTGCATTTAATCTGAAGCTTTCAGTTCTGTTTATGACCAAGGGTCTCATTTTTATTTGAAAAACTGTAATCTGTTCTTTGGACTGCTTATCTTTGTTAGGGCGTAAGATTTGTTCATCTAGAGTAGTTATATTAAGCCCTGCAGTTAAGTTAGTTTGCTTTTTCAAAGCACGTGAGCTTGGGCTTGTTAGGTTTTCTTCTTCAGGTTTGCATTCTTGATTTAGTACAATTTAGATTAACTTACCTGTTTTCATTTGATTAATTTTTTTAAGACATATTTGTTGTTCATTCTCGCATTTAGTTTTGTATATGAATTGTAATTAGAGGTTGTCCTATCAGATATCTCACACCAGATGTACTTTCCTTGTGAGACCCAATACTTGAAGTAAATTAAAATGTGGTACTCTTATCATGGAGAGTGCACTGTAGTTTTGGAAGTTTGAATCTGCATTTTAACACAGTGAGAAGGAATTGTTCCCTGTGTTTAGCGTACAATAGCTGGTGCTGGGTAGTTGTAAAGGTTTAATTTATGTTCTTGACTTGAACATGAACAAGAACAATGTGAATTATTTAAACAGGCTAGGAACTGAAAAAACTCAAACTATGTCAGGCTGTGAATGTATTAAACATTCTGTAATCCAGTTCTACTGGAAGTCTCCTCAAAATAATGAGGTAGCTCAGTCCAGAGTCCTGTTGTAACTGTTTGGCATTAGTAAATCATTTATAAAGTTTTAGGTGAAGGAAATCAGTTGTTGAACCACGCGGAACTTGCGTACTACTTACTTTGTAAAGAACTTCCCATTTTCAAATCCAAGGACAATGAATTTATCCAGGTAAGGTTAACCTACTGAAATCTAGTGAAACTTATATAAAAAGAGCTTTGGTAATTAACCAGTCAGAGCCTTTTATAATCAATATGTTTTTATAATTGTGATATTTTTTCTGTGCTTGTTTTTCATCAGTAATTACTTTGCTCTTTTGACACTGACTCACACTGATAGAAGGAATTTTGAGTTAAGTTTTCATTATGCATTGGTATTTTGTTTTTTAATGTTTAGAAACCTTAGGTGAAAGCTGGGCACTGGGAAAGCTAATAGAAGTATCTCTTAGCTGGGAGCTTAAACTGCAGGTATCCTGAGACTTGTGTAAAAGGGTTATGATCTAATAAGTACTTAAAACAAGCTTGCTAAAATGTTGCCAGGCTTTTAGATTTTGTGCAAGTGCATGAAAAATTACTGATCCAGATCTCTCTACTTCATGAAATGTTTGTATAAGTCTCTCTACCTGATAATCCCAGTGCTCATATCCAAGTGCTGGGCTTTATCCATCCATTAGCTTTTGTTGCCCAATTCCCATTTGTTAGGACTGAGGTTTTTTCTCATCCATTATAAAAGCAACACATTGAACAGTTGTCAGCATAATTCAGGCATTACAGAACTGTAACTTACATTATTATATGTCTGTATTTAACTTATCAATGTGTATTGTGTTAATGGGGAGATTTTTGACTTTCCTTTAAAATTACTGTCTTTTCCAGTACCATTGACATTCAGAATGATTGTTGAGAATGTTTAACTTGTTTGTTTGTGTTCTCTTTGTCAACTCAATGCAAGAAAGCCCTTGATTTTTTTGTGTGTGTGTGTTGCTAGTAAGGTCAAACCCTCTTGCTGGTATTTATACCTCGAAACCTGCTGACCATCTGTGTTCAGCTTTTAATCTCCAGTTGGTAAATGTGTGGAAGAAGTTTGATTTGTGATGCTTCTGTGCTTTCTCCAACTTTATTAAGATCTTGTTCAGGAGGTTGTAAGACGCTGATTAAAATCTCCATTCTGTTATTTATGCATAATGTGACACTTTTTATATGTTCCTTAAAAGGCTGCAGTGTAATCTGCTATTCCGGCTGCAGAAATACTTGAGTGATTATAAATGGTAACATTGAACAGTTCTATTTAAATTTATTACAGATGGATGTTGGAAAAACTCCACCGATGGAACTCTATGCTTGTTCTTTGCAATGATGCTGGAAGCACAAATTTGTAAAAAAAAAAAAACAAAACAAAACAAAACAAAAACAATAGTGTGGCAATAGCATGTTAAGAACATGTAGTTTCTTCTTGTTTTTGTGTGTCTGTGCGTGGTTTCTTTGCAGGCTCCTAGAAACAGATAGCAAATCCTTGCGATCAGTAAATGGGTCAAGAAGAAATAGTGGATCTTCTCTTGTATCTAGTTCATCAGCTTCTAGCAATCTCAGCCATCTTGAAGAAGACTCATGGATCCTGTGGGGGAGAATTGTGAATGAATGGGAAGATGTACGGAAAAAGAAAGAAAAGCAAGTTAAGGTAGTTGGACACATTTGTAGGCTGGATTTGTAATGTGATAGCTTTTTAGCTCAATTTTTAAGATAAGCAAGTAAGAGAAGCTTCTAACTGTATTTATTTCAATCCTGAAGCCTTAGTGCTTCTTATGTAACTGTTATTATACTTCAGTTTTGTCTAGCAAATGTCTTATTGAAAACCAGCTGCATATCATGAATATACCAAAGCTTTCTGTCTGATTATGAGAGATTCCCTTTAATCGCATACTTGATGTTTTCAAAATGGAGTTACCTGCTTAGGATCATATTGCAGCTGGATGCTGTAGTATCTTTTTTTCCCCCTCTGAACAGTCTGTTTAAAAGCATTCTTATTAGAGGAGCAGATCATTATATCGTATGAGGATCTGATACAAATTAAGTTCAATTGTTCAGGCCAAGTTTGCTGACCCCTGGGATAACATCAAGTGGAAGAAAACAGTTTCTAAACTGTTTTAGAAGATTAGAGAAATTTTGGCCTGTATATGTCCAGTCTAAGTTGTGGGTATGTGCAGGAACAGAATTCAACAATAATTTATATTTAAATTAAAAAGTATTTAGGGCATTTAACATTTGTGTTTCAGAGGTAGAAAGTACTGGAAGTGTAGGATTTTTATTCGTGGGTAGCCTATTCTGTTTTGGTTCTTTATTGGCTTTAGTCTGTAGTTTTATGTGCAGAATACAAATTTCAAGGTCTTTTGAATAGTTCGAAGTTCATGTGTGTGAATAGGTTGTGGGAAGGCAGAACAATGGGCTAAAGCAAGTGTCTTTTATGTGAAGCAGTTGTGGGGAGAGAACATGACCTGAGAGCGGAAACAAGGGATGAAAATGAATTCAAGGCTCTATGTTTGCATAGGGAAAACAGTTTCTGGAAAGGTGTTCCCAAAAAGCTGTGAAAAAAAAGACCCGTGAACCTGGCAAGGAGAAGCAGATTGGTAATATCTAGATCAGATTGGATAGAATTCACTTTCTGAACTGCTTGCATGTGGGCTTTGTAAATAAAGTGTCATGCTGCTCAAGAATTGTTTGGAGAATAAACATTTATTAAAAGTTAGTCGATTAAGTGTACTTTTAGTGAGTTTTTCAGTGGTGAAATAATTCTCAGGTGTGGATTTTTTTTTGCTTGTTTGCCAAAATCAAGCTAAACTTTGGAATGCTTGAACATCCATACTTTGTTGTTGGTTGTGCCAATAGTTATGATTTTAGCAGCCTAAATTTCATTTCATATTGACTATGAAAGCTAGCCTTAAGTTACTAGATACTTGGCAAGTTTTTGAAGTGTTAGTCATGGCTGTATGTGCTTTCCTTGTATGATATGTGATATGATCCATCCATGTGCCTTGATCCTCTCTGGAACTCTTCCTGTTTCTGAAGAGATCCTGAAAGATGACGCAAGTTCCGATACTGTGTAAGATAATATAACTTTAGCGATACTTAGGTGTGTTTTCCTGCTATTCCTCTAAGAGTGTTGGTGGAATTAAACCTTGTTATTTTGGTCAAGCAAGCGCATGATAACTTAATGCAAGAAACTAACTAATGATTTGTTCATGCTTTTAGACTTTTTGAGGCCTTAAGTGACTGAACTGCAATCTGATAGTGCGTTGTTGATGTAATAGCTAGAGATAAATGCAGAAAGCTGTCTTAGGCTTGTTGGTTTGGAGTTGGACATCCTTTGAGAAATAACTTAATGTCACCGTCATATCTGAACAAATAGTTGCAGTGACATTACCAGAAAGGTTCTGGAAAAAGCTGGTGATCTTTAGTATATTGGAAAGCTACAGATAGTACCGCAAAACTCCTGCGGTAGAGTTCAGGCTTAACAAATAATTTGAAACAAGAGTGTCTATGGATGTTACCAAGTTCAAAAGATTAGTTAATATTAGTATAAAAATATTAATATTTGGAGTAGTAGGATAGGTACTTGGACAAATAGGAATAGAATAGAAGATGGTTCTGACCTCAGAGTAAATACCAGCAAAATAAAATAAACTGACCTGCAGGAGACAGTATTTGATAGTAGTTCACAAGGCTTCAAAAAAAGTCACCACAAACAAAAAAAACCTGCCAATGACAAAGGAACACTGTTGTCTTGAATTGACAGTCCTGTAGTCAGATCCTAGTTGCAGAAAGTACTACTAAACCTATTAACTTTGACTCATACTTTCCCTTCAGTTTTTCAGGTTAAGCAACAAAGCTTTTTTCTACTTGTCTGTTCTGAAAAGACAGGTAACATACTTGGAATGTGATAAATAGATCTGAGAAGGTTTGAGTTGTATAATAACTAGCTGATTTTTATTTTTTTCTCTCCAGGGGATTTCAGGTAAATGAAGCAAGCTCAGTTGATGTAAACAATGTATTCTTGGTCTGGTGTCAGAAATCACATTTAAATACTTCCTTTAAATGAAAGAAAACTTTGAAATACTGGCACAAGAGAGAAATTAGAGATTTTTGTGAAGTGTGTGTCAAATGACTTCTGATAGAAATCTTGTGCACTTTTTTCTGGCTGTCTGTGCTCCATTTATTTTTCAATTTTTTTGCCATTTATTTGTCTTGAAAGTTATTCTTAAGCAATAATTTCTTATATCTTAAACTAGAAATATAATTAAGATTACTTTCTTAAATAATGTTTTGTGAAATATTAAAAATTACTATTACTCTTTGGCCCAGAGAAGTTCTTGTTAAAAATGTTTTCTTAATATTCAGCTTTTTTCACGGTTATTTACTTTAAAGCAAAACAAAAACTATTTTAATTGTCTAGCTAATTAAAAATCATTAATTTTTATTACCTGCCACTTATCTATCAGACTGCAGTTGAGGCTTACACCTTATGAACTTCATAACTGGTTTGTGACATAATGTATTATTTTCAGGAAATATTAATATTTTGTATCCCTCTTTGTGCTTTAGGAACTTGTTCGAAAAGGGATACCTCATCATTTCAGAGCAATTGTTTGGCAGCTTCTGTGTAGTGCTCAAAGCATGCCAATAAAGGATCAGTATTCGGAGCTTTTGAAAATGACATCTCCTTGTGAGAAACTAATAAGAAGGGACATTGCTAGAACGTATCCAGAGCATGATTTCTTTAAAGAGAAAGACAGCCTTGGGCAGGAGGTTTTATTTAATGTAATGAAGGTAAGTCAGCATTTCTGTTCTTGAAAACACATTAATGAGGGTAAGCAAGCACAAAGGTTTAGAAAATAATTTACATTCTGAATGTGTTGTGTCAGTTTCACGTGTCCTGTTTTTTTAAACTTACTCTGCTTTCCAAATTACATTTCAAAGGTAGCTTTCAAATCTTGTATTCCTATTTAATATGATTTTATAAGAGATTTAAAACGTTTGCTTACTAAACTTGCATTAAAACAGTTTCACGTAGTAACTGCTGATAGCATAATGGAGAAAAGTGTGCCATGAAATAAACAATACTGACAGATGACAACAGAGTAAATCAAAACAAGCATTCCATTTTCAAGTGTTGGTGAGCCTGTGCGTGGTAGAAGAAAATGGTAGGTGCGAGCTAATATGCAGATGTTAGTGCACAAGCACAAAATGAGATTGCCATAAAATGTCACTGTATTGCCCCCATTCTACTAGAGCTTAATTTGTAAGCTTCATCACAGCTTCAACATATGTATATGTAGCTTCAACAGAGAAGTCAGCACTTTTCTAAATCATAGTGACTTCCAATTCTAAAATACACATGGAAACATGCAGAATGTGTGGAAACCACCTGTAAATAAAACTACTGCTCTGAATTGTTCTGAAAAAGACTGTTTCTTTTGTCAGATCTTCTGTAGATGTAGTAATCCTGTGCATTTGGTATGGAAACCTCCTTATCTTTTAAGACCTGGCAAATTCCTGTGAACTGCAAGCCTTTTTAAGTGTGTGTTAGTGCACTGAAGGCCAACAGAGAGCGAAGTTCATGTCTCTGTGTAGCTGCAGGTAGCAACTAAATATCTGATCACGTTTTTTGTAGGGAGTGTCTGTTTGCTGTGGATTTGAAAGAGCAAGACAAAGTTGTTATCAAAATAACAGCATGGGCTAAGATATATTTTTATTAGCAATGAGGATTTAATAGTTTGGAGTCTTACAAATGTTATTTTGTAGGCTTATTCTTTGGTGGATCGTGAAGTTGGATACTGTCAAGGAAGTGCTTTTATTGTTGGATTACTACTTATGCAGGTAAACACTGTATTAAGAAATATATGAACCTTGAAAATCCCTGCTAGATTGCATAATGTGTCACAATGGTTTGGAAGGAATTTTGTGGCGATTCTTAATTGCTGTTTGTTAAAATGTAATAGTGAAGGGCTGTCTTTTATTCTGCAAATCAAATGAGAGTATTCTCTGTTTCTGTCTTTTGTCAAGAAGCTACTAACTTTCTGAGTGAGAGAATGCATTTGTTTCTTAAAGCTAAGGTGGGATCCCAGTCTTGCAAGTTACTCGAGGACATGTTATTTCAGCTATTGATTAGTCATTCCAAATCTATTACACTAAACCTCCTCTCAGTTCACAAGTGTCATATTTTAAAAGGTGTCTTTGTATTACTATTCAGTTTTATAAACCAGGTTATATTATAAGAAGTTTGCAGGCCTCCATTTCAGTTTAGCAGTCACTTGATAGGACCCAGCATATACAAAGAAAACTACAATAGCAATCATCAGTTACAGAGAAAAAGCAAAACACTAAATCTTCCCAAACATTCATTCTGTCCTTATGCTTTTCCTGAGTTTTTGTTTCTGTTGTTTTATTTTTGATATAGATGCCAGAAGAAGAAGCGTTTTGTGTGTTTGTTAAATTAATGCAAGATTACAGACTACGAGAACTCTTCAAACCAAGCATGGCTGAACTGGGCCTTTGTATGTACCAGTTTGAGTGCATGATACAGGTATATACAAAATCTGTCAAACTTTTCAGTAACTGAGGATAGTGAAATTGGGAATTGCAGTTCAAGAGCAGGCTTGTCTGTTGATAATAGACTGTTATCTGGCAATAGCTGATTTCAAGACTGCAGGAGAAAGTCTGTGTCTGTACGATGTACTTTTTAACCTTTGACAATGTCATGAGGACTTGTTGCTGTACTTCGTGCCTATGAATTGTAAAGCTTGCACTGAGAACTTTGACTGAAATGTCTTTGTACTCAATTTATAGCTGATTTTTTTCTAAAGTAGAAGAAAAGTTAGGCTGACAGGAACAAGTAGGCTTAATTTTGTGATATGGAAATGTTAAATTACTGCCGTGCAGCGTAGAAATACTACAGATTATACTGCCATGTCTGCTGCTTGGTTCTTCATAATGATAAACTTTCATATCCCGTATCAAGTGATATTTCTTCTAGTTGTGTGTTACGTAACTGCTGGCTGTGGCAAATACCCGTTATTTTTCCCCATATATCAGAGCCATTTGCACAATAAAAACTATTTGCAAAAACGTATCACATTTTTTTTCTCATGTTTTTCTCCAGGAGCATCTTCCAGAACTTTATGTGCACTTTCAGTCTCAGAGTTTCCACACTTCTATGTATGCATCATCATGGTTTTTAACTATATTTCTTACAACTTTTCCACTACCAATTGCAACAAGAATATTTGATATCTTTATGTCTGAGGTAACTACTCAATACTTATGTTCTGTTTCAAGAGTAATGGTTAAGAGCAGCTATTTCAGTAGTACTGTGAAGACTGATCTGATGGGCAAATTTCAAATACCCTTCCTTTGTAGATGTTTATCAGTTGTTTGGTAGGGGAAGATATCTGTACATGTAGTTTAAGGAAAAGCAACTACTTATTTGAGCATAGATGCTGTATGCAACTTTATAGTCTAAACCTGTTGAGGAGTTATCATATCTGCCAGAAGTTCTGGATGTAATATGATAGCATCATGCAACAGGGGCATCTATTTTTCAGTAGTTCAGGGTGGAAAATAAATCTTTTGGGCCCATGTTAAAACTTCATGGGGACAAGCAGATGAGGAGGAGGGAGTATAGAAGAGCTGCTTCTGTTTAGAGGATGGATAGTAGCCAAAAGAATTTATGGAGTTATTCAGTGGAATTATCACTGATGCCTAAGGTGTATCTAGGGTTAGAGCTTTGGGTGAATGTAAGTAGTAACAAACCAAAGCTTTTAGTCCATTTATGCTTTTCCTCTGCAATAATGTTCTAGAAAACACTAACTCAGAAGTGGATTCCTTCCAGATTGTGTACAGTATCTAGGATATTCTTGAGTCAAGCATTCCCTTGAATGTGTTTAAATTGTTCAGTTGTGTTATACCTTGTTTGAAACAAAAATGCCTTTTTTGAGAAGTACCTGGTTTCTTTTTTTATTCATTGTATATTAGTACCAAATGTATTTAAAATTATTGGTAAAGCTCATGTAAAGAACTGTCATTCAAGAGATTTTTAATTCTGTGGTAGCACTCTGAAGAGGATCTGGTGTTAGGATAAGTAGCCTGACTGTTTGTCTTCAGTACAAAACAAGGAACCCAGGATCAATCTGTTGTTTAAAGATTTTTTTATTTCCCTTTCTTTTGTTTGGGAAACTGGGTAAGCTTTCCAATGTTCTTAAATAATGGAATCATCTTGTAGCGTTGGCAATACTATGATTAATTGTTGAATATTATTTTAACTTCTATTTACAGGGTTTAGAGATAGTATTTCGAGTAGGTTTAGCACTACTTCAGACAAACCAAGCAGAATTACTGCAACTTGACATGGAAGGGATGTTACAGGTAAGTTAAGATTATAATATTTTAAGAGATGTGTATGGTGTGTGTTTATTTGCAGCTGTTACTTATATGTAATTTTGTGCTCTGATTGCTTTTAGCACTTTCAAAAGGTCATTCCACATCAGTTTGACAGTGGTCCAGACAAATTAATCCAAGCATCTTACCAAGTCAAATACAATGCAAAAAAGATGAAAAAGTAGGTATAACATTTTGAGAAAAGGTCATGCTATTGCTTGGAGTTATTGTTTGTTTGTTCAAAACTAGTTACTCATTACTTCACCTTGAATTTTCCATGTCTAAATTTTTGGGGTTTTATATTGTGAAGAGTTAAAAACTGAAATAACTGTTTGCAAGAGAATTCTACTAAAGTGGTATTTACTATTGTTCTCGAATATAATCAAATCTCTCTTAAAAACTAAAGCTTCTGAGGGAAGCTGCATGTTACAGAAAATTTGGATTTTGGAGGATTTGAATAGAAAGTCTGTTGTGGGATGGGGTGGTGTTAGGTGTGTAGTGTGTAGCTTTTTGATGTTTTTTCTGTTTGTTTTTTTGAGGGTGAAGTAGGGAGGGGAGGATAATTGTAAGGGTAATCCTGATTCTGAGTTTGAAATCCTGAGTATAATACTGCTACTTAAGGTTAGTTGCATGTCTTCACTTTTCTGCCGTCTGTAAATCGTACTGATAAATCAATTTACCCTTCTTGTGCTTTTCCAGGGTTAAGTTGGGCAATTCTTAAGGCAGGCAGCTTGTAGTATATTGCGGTGCAAGGAGAGTGGATGTGCTAAGGTCTCTAGGGTCTTTCAAAATAAGTTTACTGCTCCTGTCCACTATCAGAGTAAGAAGTAGAGCCCAAACTTGCAGGGCAAAAGCTTTCTCTGAAAACTAATATAAAAGCTTGCAGTTTAAAACACTACAATTCAGGCTAAACTTACTTGATTGCATTTTGTAGAGGCACTGAATATCACAGCTTGTGTTTTTTCTTGTTGCCATTTTTTTCACTGGGGCAGTTTTGGAGCTTGCATGAGACAGACCAAAAAGACTTGCCTCAAAGCTCTTTGCATCCTTCTGTCCTCTAAGCCTTCCTAGCAATGTGTTCCTTTGACTGACTATACTGAATTGATTGTTGTGTAACTGCATTGAGTGGTTATTGTTGTTCCAAATGTTGCCATTTCAGATCTGTATCTCATAAACATTATATGAGCAAGCACCCACATTTCAGATGTAGTCCAGCCTGCTTATGTCTGCAGAAGTATTTCTGTGCTTAAACTAATTTTAATGTCCAGTCCAAGTATTTACAGGAGGATTGTATTGGCAACTTTCAAGTGGTTGTTTAAACGGAGGAAATTTAATCTATTTTCTTGTTGCTTGTTAGGTATTAGACCATTTGTCAGTAACTTTTCTAATTATCCTTTACTATTTCTATTTTTTTAGGTTAGAAAAGGAATACACTACAATAAAAACAAAAGAAATGGAAGAACAAGTTGAAATTAAAGTAAGAGAGCCTCTATAAATTTACTTATAGAGTTAAGTTCAGTTCTTAGATGTGGATTATGTGTCTGATCTGTGTATCTTAGAATTGTTTTGGAAGGGACCTCTTGAAGATCACCTAGCTTCAACTCCACTGAGACAGGCAGAGATACCTTCCAATAGATCAGGTTGCCCAGGGCCCCATCCAGTCTAGCCTTGAATACCTGTAGGGATGGAGAATCCACAGTGACTCAGAACAACCTGTTTCAGTACCTTACCACCCTCTGAATGAAGGATTTATTTCAAATATCTAATCTAAATCTGTCCTTTAAAGTCATTACCCTTTATCCTCTTTCTACTGCCTCTGATAGAAATTCCCTCTCTAGTTTTCTTGTGGATCCTCTTTAAGTACTAGAAGGAAGGACGTGTAGCTGAACATGTAATTGAGGTTCCCACTTTGTTGTTTTCAGTATTTGTATTGGACTGTTTGCTCATAAAGGGTGCTTGACTATAAGAATTCTGGTGAACAAATTTGAAGGGGATCAGTGGAGACCTGCTGTACATAGTTCTTGTTAGTTTCTGCTACTAAACTATGATTTACAAGACAACCTTATTTATGAGGTTCGCAACGCTGTTTTAAGATGTGGTTATCCCATGTGGAAGACTTGGAAAACATTTTAAGGAAGAATTTATCACAGTTCTCTCAATTACTTCAAGACTGGTTTTGAGATTTCTTTATTTTTTCTCTTATGCCTTGCACATAAGGTTAGGTGTCCTGTCTGCATTCACTTCTCCTTATGGAGATTCTGCAATTGATACATAATGTGGGGTTCAGGAGATCTTGGTCAAAAAACCTGCAAGTTAAGATCTGCTCATACAGGCTTAGGTTCTTTTACTGGCTGACCTGCTTCCTATACTTAATGGCAACGTTTATTTGCTTTTGTTATGTAAATAAGCTTATGTTGTGTTTTCTTTTCACATTTAAGCTTTTTAGAGGGAGTGAGTTGTATCCTTCCTTCTTGCCATGCATTTCTGGTCGTTTGTCTTTCAATGTCAACTTCAGACAGCAGTTCTTCAGAAAAATTCAGTGACGTGCACCGGAGAGTACAGAAATTTTCCATGCTTTTGTAGTTTACCCTTGTAAACAAATAGTAAGACAGGTAGCGTTCTTTACTTGCAATCAGGGTCTGTTGGGGTGGCTTATCAAGTTAAGATTTGTATGAAATACATCAGATAAAAAAAAAAGTACAGTTATTTCTTACTTTGAGGTAAATAATTGTTCATATAGTTTCTAACAAGTAAAATTAATTAGTCTTTTTATTGAGAAGAAAAGAAGGGGAACCTCTGTAGCATCTCACTAACTTGTCCTAGTGAAGGGATTACTTTTTCACATCCCTTTACCATGAGGACTGTGTCCTGCTCTGTTTATGAAGAGGAGGCTAATAGTGTTGTGTGGTTAAGCCTTTTGGTTCACTGACTTTCATAGGGCACCAATACAGTTGATTTCATGTTGCATGATACCTTTCTTGTCTTTGTTCTGTCAAGCTGTACAAACTCGCCTTTTGAGTTAGTACATCAAATAAAAAGGATGTTTAAAATGAGAGTCACTGCTCATGTTTGTATTCATATTGATTTCTTGCAGCTGTGATAAGATGTTTTGGTTTTCATTTTCTTAAGTTAACCTGCTTGGCCTTAGCAGACTTCCATAACCTGAGAATTAAAGTTTTGAACTGTTTCCATTTCAGAGGTTGCGAACTGAAAATAGGCTCCTAAAGCAGCGCATTGAAACACTAGAAAAAGTAAGTAAGCTAGTGACCAAATTTAATCTGTTATTCATATTCATTATATCGATTAGTCATCTTATATGAAATGGGTCTCATAACTTACTATTTTTTTTCTGGTTGATTTACAATGTTCACTAACAGTGCTTAGCCAAAAGCGTGGCAATAACAAAGCTGTTAAGGTCAGTGCTTATAAATGTTTGTCTGTCTTATTTGAAATTGAACATCTTGGTACATCTGACTTCTGTAGCATTTTATTCCTCAACTGGAAGTATCAAAATACAGAAGATTTCATAGAATAGTGTAATGTCTGGGTGGAAAAGAGGTTATTGTGAGAGAATCTTCACTTCTGATAATCTGAAGTTGCTAGGTGTTTTTATGTAGGAGCAAAATAATCAGAGAGGTGAAGGTGAAAGATTGTTGTCACTGAATATAGCAGAGGGATGTTGCAGCATTCACGTTTGGTACAGAAGTCTGCTGCTGTCAGCTATTAATTCATCTTAAATGATTTGGAATTTTTGTAGAAATTACAGATACAGGCAGCTGGGGAAAATAATTTCTCATGGATATAGTCTAAAATAGAGTTTTGTTAGGCTTCTTTATAGCTGGATATAATGTCCAGGTGTGCACGATAACTGTTGTCTTATGTACTGATAGCATGCAAGCATTGTACTTTGGCTTTCCTGCGTTGATATCATGCTTCGTGTGACAGACTGAATCTAAGAAGGTGTGCTGTAGCATGAGAACATTCTTACCAATTTTGACTGCAAATAACAGCTGCCTTTCAGCAAATGAACTGTGGTTTGGGAAAAAATGCATGGTGTGAGGGACATCTTGTGAAAAGAAGTTGTGACCAAAAATTCTATGAATCTAGTTGTTTCAGATCTTGAATTGTAGGTAAAGCTAACTGAAGGGAATGGACTCTGATATGTTTAATTCTGTAGCAGATGATGTTAGTGTTTTTGTCGTGGACTTACAATAGTAAATATCCTTGGTTTATGCTTGATTTGCAGAGGATCGAAGTCTGACTTTTTTTTTTTGCTAAGAACTCAATGATGAGCCACCAGACAACTCATGTGCCTGTAAATCCTGTGTTTTAAATTTCAAGATTCATTTTCAGAATATCCTGGTCTGATTGGAATTGAAATGTTTCAAAATGAAAAAAAATATTTATATTAATTATCCTCATCCAAAATTCTTGTCATCAAAGCATCTAAGAACAGATCATAAAGTAAAAAAGAAAAAAAAAACTTCATATAATTCTTCTCTTGGGAACTTTTTAAAATTTCTTTCCTCATCCTCGCAAATGATTTACTTGTGATTTTCTTAGCATACTGTAATGGCAAACACCTTAAGATGTAACCTTACTACATTTAACTGGTAGTTCCTATCAACCAGTTCAAACTTTGTCCTTGGAATTTTTATAAGATTCTTGGTTTAACCATCTCTGAATAGAATGCCATCGAATCTGTGAGAATTGGATGCTTGCAAGGGTGATAGAGTGGAGATGTCTTTAATGAAATTATAGCAAGGTGAAGGAAATGCAGTGCTTGTCAGCATGCACACTTTTCTTATAGTACTTCGGTAAGGGAAAAGACTCTGAACTGTTTGAGTTATTGCTAAAGCTCATTAGAACAAAATATTAGCTGTCATAGTTGAAATTTGATACTTAGGTCTTTCAGTTTGCACCATTTAATTTCCCTGCTTCATCTTTGTGGAAGCATTAGTTCTGCATGGATATTTCTGCACTTAGTGGAGTTGCCTTTGTTCCTTTTGTAGTGTTCAGATAAAAATAACCAATCTCCTGTAAGTGAATTCTAAGCATAACAGAAGTCTGGCTTTGGTACCTGCTTGTATCAAAGACTGACTCATTACATCTGTTGCAGTAAAAGGCTGCTTCCTGCAATTTCCAGCCTGTGTTGCCTTAACTTACATAAGAGCTCTTAACTTTGTAAAAACAAGTTGCCTGTATAGAAAAATGGGTAGAATTTGGACACTTTCTTTCTCTGCTCTAGTCTTTTTTTTTTTTGTCACTATTATCACTCTTTTGTTTTTTCTTTTCCTTATTCCTATCTGAATTTTTCCTTTGTAGGAAAGTGCTTCCTTGGCAGATAGATTGATACAGGTATAGTCTTCTAGTCTTCTACTGTATGACTCTTTCTACTTTCAGAAAAAAGACTGCTTTAATGCATGCATACTTGCATGCTGCTCTCTATCCTTGCCTTGTTGATTTGGAATAAATATATAGCTAATCTCTTACTAGAAAGTTGTTTAATATATTAAAAAATATAAAGCCAGTAGTTGCACGTTATAATAATTTTCTAACCTAATGTAATTCTGGTGGAAATTTTTGTTTCAAATGGATTGAAACGTTATTAACACTTCAATTGAATATTGCAAACTTAAATCTTTGCATGTACAACTGAGTAATATTGCATGAATTGACTTCTATTGAATGCAGGTACACAATTGTGCTTGCTGAAAGGATATCAAGCTTAGTAACAAAGTACTAAAGCAGCTGCTTAGTACTACATCATCCAACAATTTCTACTAATTGTATTCCATGCTGTTTGCAAAATCAATCTGAAATATGCACCTGAGTACTGCAAAGGCAGTCTTTCTTGGATTTGTCCTCAATTGCTTTTGAGGGGAAAAAACCCACATAATTATGTCCTAAGGGACAAGTGACCAGGGCCCAGGAGGCTGAGGAAAACTACCTCATAAAACGGGAGCTGGCCACCATCAAACAGCAGAGTGATGAGGCCAATACTAAACTGGAGCAAGCTGAGAGTACCATCAGGGAGCTCCAACAGCAGCAGCAATGGGTAAGGAGCCTGGCAGCACATCATCTCATGTTTTTCATTCACTCGTGTTTGTTTTTCCTCATTGTGACATGGTGTCTGTGCTGTCCTTACAAATGCTTGTGTATTGTGATTTCCCTTCTTAAGAAGTATACAAATTGGACTAAATGCTATTTTGATCTCTTCTTACTGATAGATGATGGAATTCATCCCCTGGATAAATGTAAGTTTAAAAAAAAAAAAATCGACAACAACAAAACAGCAAAAAAAAAAAAAAAAAAACCAACCAAAACCAGCACACAACCTTTTCATGTCTAAGAACTCCAGCCATGGCAAACTACGTCAGTCTGAATACTCAAACTTGAGAGTTGATGATGCCATTTCCTAGCTTCTCATTTAAGTTGCGTGCTTCAATATTGATGTTATTTTTTCTGGATATGTGCATATTTTCCTGGCATTTCTTTTTGCAAAACATTAGTGAAGTAGCTATCTCTTGCTTTGGAGTCAGTACAGGAGTTCGTTAAAAGGTGTGGATTTATGTGCAGGTGGAACGGGAAAATACATGTTAGCTGCTATATTGAGCAAATACTGTGTTTGTATGTACTATGCATTTTAGGTTGTGCAGTGTGCAGGACTTTAGATTGCTACTGTGAGGCTGAAGTTACTTTCCCTAAGTCACTTGCAAGGAGTTTGGTATCCTCTTTCAATAGAGGGAGGCTGCTTATGCCATCTTCACTTGCTGGATACGTTGTGTGTTTGCATTGTTGGTGTGAGTATACCTGTACTGCTTCAAACAAGTAGTATGAAAGTACTTGTTTGGAGCCCTAGACACCTCAGGTATATGAAATGTGATGTTTTAGAACTAAAGCATTCTGTAGCTACTTAAGGGATTTCCCTTATTGGGCAGCACAATGGTTTATTTTACCCAGCACCAAAACTCTGGAGGCACTTATATTTGTTTTTGGGAGGTGGAGAACAGATTTACTGTTAACTTAGATGCAACAGTAGTTTATTATTTCTGTTTAATGCATTTAGCTGTACAAATGATGCATCTTCTGGAATAGTTGCAGGGCACTGTAATTGAGCTGTGACACTGTAATGTGTAATGCTGATTACTTAATTTTAGCTATATTTTCTTCAGGAAAAAGCATGGAAAAATGATGACTGAGGAAGTTTTATTTCACTTCAAAGATTGTAGCATGACAAATGTTTATAGATTAGAAATATTCCTTTTCCTACTGTCTAATTATGACAGTAATTTGGAAGCGTACAATAATACACTTGGAGTGTGTATTAGTGGAGGAATCCTAGTGACTGTTATTTCCTGTGCTCATTAACAAGTTAGACCAAAAGACCATGGTAAAATTTCAGTTTGTGACTCTTCAGAGTTAAATTATTCAACTGTATCTGCTAGTTAATGAATAATGTGACATTGATAGCTAATGCTTTTAGTTATAAAGGGAAGCCTTATTGGATGGCAGTAATGGGGAAGCCTGGCAGATTGAGCATGGGAATCTGAGAAAAGATATGGGAAACTGAATTGCAAAATTGTTTCTATATTGGATCTGTGGGTACAAGATATTGATTAGGTACTGCAGGAATAGAGAGAAAGCAATGCAAGAGTGAACAACTAATTTAAGCCATACTTCCTAACCTGTGTGCTTGCAGCTTTGTTTTTCTCCACTTAAGCGAGAGAGTGACAATAGGAAATAGTCTGAGTGTGTTTGGAGCTGAGGCTGCAAATTCCTGGGGTTACAGAGGGGTTTTTACTTACTAGATGGTACATTTTTGAAGTGCAAGAAACTGTACTGTGGTGATAAAGACAGCAACTGAATTAAGGTGGTGAAACTTCTGCCCTAAGCAATGGGAACTACGTGTGGGGGGGTGGCAGGTGGCTGCACCTCGGGCACCACCTAGTGGGAAGCCACGAATTCTGTCTGAATTCTGGTATTTGCTTCAAGAATCCCCTAGTAAATCTTCTTACCACTGTCTAATGCCAGAGGCTCCTGGCAGTCTGCATTTTCAATATCGTCTTCATAGCTGCTTTGATTGTTTTTTTTCCAGTTACTTCAATTTTGTTTATGGTTAGCAAAAAAAAAAAAAAAGATTGCAGACTGTACTGATAGATGGCTGCATAGTTGGTCTATCAGTTGAAGGTGCAGCATCTATCACTCATACCTGGTAACCTGAATCTCTTCCAGTTATGAGTTCTGTTTCATCATGGTAGCAAGAACATTGTACAAGCCACAGTACTTGTAAGAAAGTTAACCTATCCTTACTTTAAAAAAAAAAAGTAATGATTTGTGTTTAAATATTATCTGGGGCTTATTTATAGCTGTGCTGTGAGAGCACAAAATGGGTGGGTGGATTAAAAAAAGGTAAATGTTGAAGATCTTACAGAGTATGTATGTGCCTTTGAAGAAATGCTCCCTTCTGACGCTTTTGCTGAGGGGTGGGAATTGAGATGGGTAGAAGAACATCTTTCTGGCTGTATTCCAACAACTGAAGTCCAAATTACATGCAGCTTTAATTTTTTCTGTGTTGCAATATTTGTAGGGAGTTTTTTAGTTGAAACAGTGAAGTCTTAAATCTATTTAGAGGTATTTGTTACCATTTTTTTGAAGTGTAAGTAATGGAATTTCTGCTATAGTTCTCATCTCAGATGACCTGGAAGTTGTGCTGATGTTCATATAATGAATTGCATATTAAGAGTCATCAAATATGTTCTACATATTTATGAATATATTTTAGGTCATTTGGAAACAGAAGTAGAAAAGGAGGGGAAGGAAGCATAAAATAGTAAGGCTTGAGATGGAGACTTCATGTATCATTTTACTTTTACATCTTTCTGTGGAGCAACCAACAGTGTAATGTTTTTAAAGATAGTGCATAATGCATATACTTTTTTATATTGCTACCTAGGAGAAACAATTTTAAAGCTAAAACACCATTCTGAAGTACTACTGGAGTTCACTGCTTCAGCTGTTCATTTGTCTAAATGCCTCTGAAGAAAACGATTGCCAATCTGCTGCTGTGGCAAGTGAGGTCTTACATAGAGAAATCTGCCACAGACTTTTCCATGTGGAGGGCAACTGGAAGATTAAGAGGAACGCAGTTTGTTTCTTCTCAGTAGTTCTGGTCAACTGTGATCTTTATAGATGAAGTTGTGCCTGACAGATCTTGTTCTCAGGTATGCTGAGGGCAATGGTGTTTGAGGGATTAGGTGTGAGGGCAGTGAGACTGTTCTAATGTGCTCCTGGAGGTAATTTTTTTTTGCAGTTTTTTTTCTTTCTGAAATTTTTTTAAAAAGAGATTTTTGTTGGGTATATAAAAACAAATAATCTAAGGATTTCAGCCATTAAACATACCTCCAGAAAACAAATATCAGTCTTTCCTAGCAATACTTGAATTCTTAGTGATCAGCCTGATCATTGGTCTGAATGCTTAAGAATTGAATCTACCGAGTAAGAGGCAGTTTGGGAAGCTAAAGGTGCTTTATTTCTTAATTTTGAGAAAGCCCACCAGGTGTTTTACAAATGTCGGAAGTTTAATTGACTAAATATTCTGATGAAAGCATATGCATTTTGCAGGGTAACTTATAGCCATATATTTGGTTATAGTTGCAGCAACTGCATTCTCAATAGTTTCATTTCAGAAACTCATACTGGAGTTACTAATAACGAAGAGCGTGGTAACTGACATAGGGAGAATAAGCTTATAATGAATATTGCAACCTTACCAAAGGTTTTGCTTTTTCATTCACTTTATTTTACAATATACTTTACGTTCTGAATTTTCAAAAATACTTCATTGAAGCACTATAGTTAGTGTTTAAATGTATAAGTAAGTTAATTGGGCAGTATAGGAAACTGGAAAGGTGTTTTGTAAACAGATACATTTATATACATTACAAAAGTCATATTAAGAATGTTTGGCAATCTTGCTATGTGGCACATGAAGGAATAATTTGGAAAAAAAATAAATCAGTTATGTGAGGCTAAGCACAAGGATTTAATTCAGGGGTAAATGACTGTAAAACTGGGTTTTTAGTATTTTAGGTTATAGAGGCATCTTCTCAAGATATGTCAAGAAAAAGTGTTTCTATGGTGAAAAGGTTGGAATGGTGCTCAGAAATGTGGATTTGTGGTGTTCTTTGACACTAATACAAGAGCTTAAGGCAAACATATAAAGGCAATTAAGACAGATATTTAGCAAACAAAGTAGCATTTTCTAACATCAATTTGATTATAAATTTGTCGGCTTTAGTAATTTAACCTAACCTTCTGTTTTTAAAATTAAAAATCACAGCTTTGAGCTTCTGAATATTTTTAAAAATTTATTTTGATCTTGGTTATACCTTATTGCCAATCTGTCAAGACTGGGTTTAAAGGAGTGGCATGGCTGTTTTTGATGTTTGCTTTGTGGCTAGGTATGTTAGAAGCATTTGACTGTGTCTTGAGTAGGCCAAGTCTGAAGGCAGATTTAAAAAAAGTTGTGAGCCCAAAGCTGTTTACATTACTCACATTTGTTGTTGCCAAATCAGGATGCATTTAGTTCTTCAGATCCATTATTTCCACTCCATTTCCTGGAAAGTCTAGAAGGACTCCAAAGAAAGCATGCTGTGTTCATTTTTGTTTCCTATTCTTTTGCTTGTGGAATCTGGAACAAGAAACTGAGAGTCCGCCGCTCCATCTAAGTTGCTGTTTATGTCATTTGATAAACTTGTTCAAACAGCTAAGGAAGAAGAAAGCTGTTGCCTATTCTATGTCTCTGCATATTGTTTCATGCGCTACATATGCTCTCCTGTCATGTGCAGTGATTCTAGAAACACATTGGCATTGTCCATCCATTCTCGCCTGACATTTCAGTTCAGGGCTACCTCTGCTACTTCCTGTGTGAAGACAATATGCAGATTGAAAACAGTACGTATTAAATCAATGTTGTGTAAGGAAAAGTTAATATCTTTGTGCATTGTTCTTGGTGCATTCAACTGTGCAGCTAAGTAGGTCAAGCACTTTTAAATGGATAGTCTCTGTGATGCTGAAAACTGGTTGCATAGGCTACACTTGTCTTCCAGTGTTTTGTGTATACCCCTCTGTTGTAACTCTGTGGATTCATATCCTGTGTATTTTAAGAAATGTAATAAAAATGTATCAGTAAACAGGTAAGTTTGATTAGTAGATATGGTTTAGATGTAGTTGACATATACAAGTATAAAAATAAGAAAATACTTCTGTGGCCATGTAATCATGTGTGATAAATTCCTATTTTGCTCTGTTAGTGAAGTTTGTGCAGTGAAAGTTAGGGAATGTTATATCCTAATAGCAGCATACAACTGAAAACTTTTCTGTTAATTGAGGTTTTTTTTATATGAAGAACTAAGTTGTTTGAGGCAAAAGCAAAGCAAGATATGGCTTTATAGAAATTCATGGAATATTCCTTAAATTGCCTTGTAGATTGAATAGAACTTTCTTTATGAATCCAGGTATAGTATTAATTTGTCACAGTGTAGTTAACAGCATCAAAGATGTATTCAGTTAATTCCTCTTGATATAAACGTTTGGGGTAGCTGTGCATAATCAGTAACTGGACAGCTATGGTTTTAGTATTGTAACAGTACTGGATAACAGTAATTTAAATGCTGATATAGGATGCCATGACAAGTCATGCAGATCTGACAGTGGTGGCAAATCTCAAGTTATGTTAAAGTCACTTGGGGAAAATAAATGTGTTTTTGAACTATTGACTGGACTAAAAAGTAGTGAATATGATTTCAGTTGAAATTATCTGTTGAAAGACGCATTTTTACAAAATTGTACTTAAGCAGGTGTAATGATGGCTCTTACTTTTAAGCTCTGACTAATCAATCAAATAAGTTAATGATAAATTAACTTGACTCCGATTGTGAGATTTTTCTCTTTCCCCTAAAGTTCAGAAAGAGTAGCTTTAAATTCTGAACTGATATTTTAATACTGAAGTACTGTGTTAAAGTGTGTAATGCTGAGTAGTAATAGACTTGGACTAAGTTTTGTGTGTACCCAATCTGATGTAGACTGGACCTGTGCTATTGGTATGCCATCCATCTAGAATGGATATACTACTACTTTAGTCCTGTATTTTTTTCCTCTTAAATCCATAGGGCTTATCCTAAAAATATATTATAAGGAAGAATATATATTGCGTGAGTAAATGAGAACCTAAAGGTTGGAGTGAAATAAAGAGGCAAACCCAAGTAACAGTGCTTTGAAGCATATGTGACTTATTTTAAATCCAAGGTTATGGAAGGCTTCTGCTGAATCAAAGTTTGAGTAGGGATCAAGAGAAATCCTCAGATTAACCTTGTAAATAGCTAACCTTAAGCCTTTTTTCAACATGCCACAAAATAGCCACAGATCCTTCTTTTTTTTCCTCAGTTTGGATAACATTGAAAAGAAAGCATGAATCATTGCTCATGAGTACTCAGAGGGATCTCAGTCTGATCCTTTGGTCTTGTATGGTTGAAGTTGTTTGTGAAGAGTAGTAATAGAGTTTGTACGCATACCAGTGGGGATAGACATGTTAGTAGACCTTCTGTATCTTAAAAAAGTATTTCTAATCTTAAGCATTTGAATGTATGTTTTTCACTTCAAATCTGACACGTAAGACCCATTTTGAGCTATCTGTGCTTCATACTAAATATATTTCTGCAAACTTTGTAGCATAAATGCAGTTCACGATACAGTGAAGACTTTGTGCTACAGCTGGAAAAAGAGCTGGTCCAAGCCAGGCTGAGTGAAGCAGAATCCCATTGTGCCCTGAAGGAGATGCAAGATAAAGTTCTAGAGATGGAAAAGGTAAACCAAGCCCAGGATCTTCGGTATAAAATAGTGCTAGAGATGGAATGCAGGTCCCTGTAGTTCTTCGTGGTACTGCGCTCTATATTGACATATGTTTTCATGGTCGCAAGATGCTTTTCAACTTTGAAGTTGATTATAGCAAAAACAAACAGCAAAAAATAAGCCACACCAAACAGAAGTATCAAAAAAACAGTAATACAAACTAAACAAGATGTTTACATTGAGGAGGGCCTATGATTGCTTTTTCCTGTGCCTGTGTTAGAAAATGCAAATTCTGGTAGGATCTTAACAGCAAACATCAGCTGTTTCAAAACTATATTCTGCAATGAGTAGCAAGCCTGTGGTAAGCCTTGAAGTGATGTGGAACTATGAATAGTTGGAGTGAACACAAAAGAGGAGTTCAAGATTGCCATTCCCCAGTCTTGAGTTCTTGAGTCTCTTCCACTTTCTGTTATGGGCAGGAAAGTGTGTCTGCTGTCCTTAGCATGAAACTCTTCTGCTTTTCAGGTACCAGTTCATTTTGTAGCTTTCTGACACCAGAACCCTAGCTGTATTCAAACAATCTGTCAGACACTTTATTCTATTTGCTGTCAGGTTTTTCTTCACAGAAAACAGAAAAATACAGTTGACCTTATTTAAAGCACACTCTTCAGATCATATGTTGTTTTGTGAGATTATTTCCCTATGGAAACTTGAAAAAGCTGTATATTCAAGAATGTGGAGAAAACTTATTAACTTCACAGGACTCATCTAGTTAAGATTTTACTTAAAAAGCTTGACTGGGAATCTGACAGAATAGTAGTGTTGTAGTTACGCTGGTAAGAGGTCAGAATCTAGCATCCATGTCCAATCTGCTAGTTTTTTTAGTCCTCTTTTAGTATTTCATTTTAAAATGTGTTATTACTGTCCTCTTTGTTTTAGTATTTCATTTTAAAATGTGTTGTTACTTGATATATTTAAACTATGTTATGTATTTATTTTATATGCTGCCCAAGACAGTCCCTGTAGCCTGGGACAGTCACTCACTGTGGCCTGGGATAGCCAGAAGGTTGCATACCTGTGATTCTCTAAAAATTTAGAAAGAGAATACTACTTCTCTTGAGCTATAGGAAGTAGCATATACTGAAAACTGTAAATATGAAGATATTGGAATTGTGGGGAAAAAATTGATGTACCAGGCAAACTTTGGATGTCAAGAAATATTTTAGTCAGTCCTTAATGAACTTAGGCACGTGAGGAAAGTGACTCAAGTTAACTCCCCTCAATTTCTATAAATACAACTCTTTATGTGGCATGTCACTAACAGTCGTCTGGAAAAACTCTGCTTGGTAGCCTGAGACCTGAATGGCTATACTGCCCATAATGTAAACATTAAGAAACAGTCAGTTTCTTGGTTTCTAATGTTTACAGCCCATGATTTGGAACATGCTAGTAAATGGTGGTTTTGCTGTGTTAATGTTGAAATATTTCACTCAACTCTCAGGAAAACCTGGAAGCTTTCCCAACACTGTGTCTCTACAAAATACTTGATTTTGCTAGAAATTACTACTGAGAAGTATAGTAGAAAGTGATGAAGCACAATTGAACTTCGAGTGTTTGGAGACCAATGATTCAACAAAAGGAAACTTTAGTTGGGCATACTGTCCTCCTTTCCTTCTAGTGTTTTTGTTTTTCTCCAGACTTTCATCCTTTCATCACTTTTCCTAAGTTACTTCTGTAGTGTGGATTGCTGTTTTGTTTATCTCTTTCCAGTCTTTCTACTTTTTTCATGTCTTTGTATACATCCATGAACTTTCACTTAAGAGCTTTCTTGACTGATTATTATTTGTAAATATTAATTGTTTCTTTGTCAACATACCTTTTCTTTTTCAAAGGCAAATTATCTACTTTCCAAAACCTAAATTTCCATTTAGGAAAAGGAGTAAGAGCTGTAACTCTACAGTTGTAATTTTTGTTTCTCATTTGCTTTATTTTTGTCAATTATTTCATAATCTTTCCTCTTTTTTTAATGTGCTAAAAGTAGTGTAAATAATCTTTGTGAGGGATAATATCCAGTGAAATAGGCAGTTGAAACATACTTGTAGTCATTAGATATATTTTTTTAGGGACTTTATAAGAGATGCATTATTAAGAAATTTTGGTTAGCAATAGGAGTTCTCATATTTGTATTTTGGAGTGGATCTTGCTAAGCATTATTTTGTTCAAATGCATGTTTAAGAGGATGTTCCTTGTTCCAGAGGAACAGCGCTCTCCCTGATGAGGAAAACGTTGCTAGACTACAAGAAGAACTGATTGCAGTAAAACTAAGAGAAGCAGAAGCTTTGATGGGTCTCAAAGAACTAAGGCAGCAAGTCAAAGACTTGGAGGAACACTGGCAGGTATGGGTACCAAGACATTGTTCTCTTTTTCTTCTTGGATGATAACAAGGCAAGAAAATCTTGAGACATGTTAACTATGATCTAGTGACTGTGGATTGTGAAATATCACAGACTTCAGAAGTGTATTGGAAGTTGTTCTCTAGCTGTTGCAGATGACAGAGAGGCCTGTACTAACAACCAGCCATCCTGGTAGATGTTTTTCAAGATGTACTTGAAATCCTCTGACTTAATCTAGTTGGGAGTCACTGTCTTTGGCTTTTTAATTCTCTATTCTTAAAACTTGTATAGATTTCTAGATTTTTTAGACCTAAAAGTAGCATTCTTAGCAACTTTGCATTGTACAGCTGAGACATCAAGGAGTTCTTTAAAGGAGATTACTTAAATGAAGTTAGAGAACATCGGGAAAGATGAGATACCAGCAATGACGTGGTTTTTTTTAGCGTCACCTAGCTCGCACCACTGGGAGGTGGAAAGATCCTCCAAGAAAAAATACAGTGAATGAACTACAGGATGAGCTGATGACAGTCCGACTGAGAGAAGCAGAAACTCAGGCTGAATTGAAAGAAACCAAACAAAGAATGATGGAGATGGAAACACAGGTATGATATTTAGCATATGAATTGACCTGAATGGTGCCAGACTAGCATCGGATGACCAATGCCATTTAATGGTCTGTACCATTTATAAGGATGACTTTAGTTCTGAAATGTCAGTCTCTTTTTTTTTTAAACTGCTCTTTTTCTTCATATCTTAGGTTAGGAGGGAGAATCAAATGCATACAATCAATCTAGCATACTTTAATGTCCCTTACAGGGCTAAGCTTTCAGAATTTCTTACTTGGATTAACTGGTAAACTGAATGCATGTGAATCCTTATCTGTTCAGTTGTTCCAGGGATGCTAACAAAAGTATGCTTAAGGTATTTCCACCTTCACAAACCTTTACCTAATTGATGATTCACATATTGTAATTTCAAGTCTTAAAGTAACTGCTTTTCTTGTGAAATTGCCAGTACTAGATCATCTACTGAAAGCACGAATATGGTTACTAAGCAGGAATCTTGGTATAACTATAGCCTATTGTCACTTTTCAGCAGAAGCTTTACCTTTCACCTGCTAAGAAGAAAAAGTATATTTTAGCATTATTGAAATGTGCAGAATAGGCAAGAAGTAACTTATCTGCTAAGGTCCTTTTTATGTAACTAGTGCAAGTTAACCGGTCAAATCTGAAAGTGCACTACAGTTGGTACATTCATATTAATTTGTGAGCTCTCCACTGAAGTGATATTGAATGTGCTGTTGACTGGTAAGTTTGTAACAGGTTTCTGAGAAATCTTCCCATGTATCAGGATGTGGTACTGAAGAGGGAGAGAATGGCTACACAATATGTGGTAGCTTACTACTGGTAGAGGCGCCACTTTATTCTACAGTAACTGGATAAAAGTGTTTTCTTGCCTTCTAAAACTTGTATTTAAACATTAATACTGTTATGTATGTTTTCTTGTTTTTCCTTTCTATTTGTTGTAGTCAGTAGGGGGCATAGGTATTCTGCACTCTGGGTTACATGCAATAACCTCAAGACCTCTAGGTTTCTCTCATTTCAGTGTTGAACATCGAGTCTATGTGTTTATGCTGCTGAGCTGTCATTTGAAACAAACGCAGTGGTTCTCAGATTGTGTTGATCTATGCACGGCCTCATGTAAAAAATGTCTTGTATTAAAGCACTGATCTTAGTTGTATTGTATTACTTCCAGAATTTCACTGGTCAGAGAAGTGTGCATGTAGTATTTCTGATATACTTGATGTTTTGTGGTTGCACCAGCTAGTAATTGTAATTGGGGTGCAAGTTTACAAAGTCTTTGACTTACATAAGTACAAGATGAGTCAAAACATGTATAGCAACTTTATGTTCTTGTTCTTAAAATGAATTTTCTATTTAAGAACCCTTGAAATATCATGGCTGTAAAAAAAAAAAAAAAAAAACCAACATCATGCAAACTTTTGTCTGCATTTTAAAAATTCTGAATGTTTTTCCATCAAGTTTTTTTTATAGTAAATGATCTGTTGAGTCTGTCTTGTCAGACTTTAGGGAGGTAAATTAATATGAAAGATCTCTCATTGATGTGCTTTCTTTTTTTTTCTTGTCATAAATGTCAGAGTCAGATCAATAATAACCATTTGCGAAGGGCAGAGCTGGAGGTCACCAGCCTGCAAGAAAAGGTACAGTATCTTACTGCACAGAACAAAGGACTTCTTGCTCAGCTGAATGAAGCAAAACGTAGACAAGCGGAGATTGAATGTAAGGTAAACAACATGAATAGACTATTTGCATGCTTTTATATATGTAATTTGTAGTGTTTTCCACTACTTTCTTTATTTTCCAGTTTGACAAAGTCATCTTAAATTTACCATCTCAGAATCATTTGAGGTTTTGACAGAGCTGTTTCTTTGTGGTCTCACAAAGATAAACTTTGACTTCAAAGTGTAGTTCTGCTCTACTCTCTACTGCTGTCTGTGTGTAATGAGTAAAAAGACTCTTCTACTCAACAGATTCTGATCGCTGTGTGCTCTGATTGTCTTAGTGACAGAAGACAACTTCAATGCTATTACTACAGAACTAGCTTGGGTTCAGAAATGGCAGTAAAAACTCTTTGAATGGAAAGATGAATAGAGAAGAGTATTAGGGTATTCACCACCTAAATAGTAAACAGCTTAAAAAAGATCAGCCTAAAAATACCGGGCAAGAAAGTGTTCATTAACGTCAGTGCACCAGAGCTCTACCTGATGTTTTCATCCCAGACTTAGTTTCATAACTAAATACATAACTGGTCCCTAATAATTTCTCTTTCAGTCATGTGCATGCAATATGGAAAAGCAATAAAGAAAACAAAGTTTTATTTTAGCTTGGATGAAACTTTTCCTGAAATGACTATTGATACTTATCTCAAAGTGCAATATTAGTTGGAAATTGCTATAATTAAGACCTAATGTACTGGAGACATTAAAACAGCTTTCAACTTTACTCTGTTTCCAAAAGGTGTTTGCGGAGGTTATTATAAAATCAGCTGGCGCTGCGTGGCCAGTAATTTCTAAATAGATGAGTTGTTAGTGTGTTAACATTCATCCTGTAACAAAATGAATTCCGCTTATTGTACTGCGGTTGCAGATTTAGCAACTTGAGAGCAGATGCTGTTACATAATGTAAGTTGATCACATCTTAGTTATGTCCATGATGTATCCAGACATTCGTTTCTCTTTTTTGCTCATATACAACAGTTACCAGCTGGGTGTTTTTTTCAATGTACATGTGTTTTATTTTAACAATATATAACTTAAGGACTGGCTGTATTCCCCTCTAAAGGTTCTGCTGATAACGTAAATAGTGTCAAGAGTGTAGCTTGAGTGGCTTATCGCAAAGTTAAGTCTGCAGAGGAATTGGCACTCTGTGCATAATTTTCCTATAATGTATTGTTCTTACAAACTTGATTTCTTCTTGTAAGCCTTTCTCTTCAAGGTAATGCATCAATGTAATCAGTTCAGTTGTGTAATAAGATTTCATCTTGTCTTCGTTAATCAAAGCCATATTGTGAAATCTGTAATTGGCAACTTTTTGCTAGTTTTCCCTTAGTTCTTTCCATAAGGAAAATGAAGCTACAGCAGTAACAACACTTGTCTTACCTACTGTACTACCAGAAGTAGTTTCAGTGTCACTCTACTAAGTAGTGTTGCTACCGACTTGATTTGGCTTGAAATATAGAGAATATAGAGTTGGTTGAGTTGAAAAAATAGTTTTGCTCTGTAAATACTTAAAATAGTTAAAATAATTCAGATGTCACTGATGCAACAACTTCATAATCAAAACTGAAGTTTCAGTGGTCTTTCATATAATATAATGGAGCAAAACAAATGTTAAGCTCATGTAGCACTAAAGATTTTAAGCTACACTTGCATTTCCCTAAATTTGCCAAGTTCTTTTATCCTGATTTCCCTGGAAGCTGATGTTCGAGTATATTTTTCTTCCTGTTATTTCAAGACATCTGAAGCTGTGCTCTGGTGCTGTTTGTCACTATGGTTTTGCTATGTAGCAATATTCATACTTAAAAATCCAAGTAAATCTTTCTAACACATCTTCAACTCCCCAGTTCACTGGTGTAAAACAAACAAAAAACCCTACTAGTATATTCTGGAGTTTGTCTCTCTTGAAACAGTATCTTATAGTTAAGTAGGAATTGAAACTTGTGTAGCGAGCTGTATCCTATGCCTATGCAGTTGCTGTTTTCTGTCTCTGGTCTGTACTACTTCCTGGTTTTTTCTTTTTATCTGATTGCTATCAGCAAGAACTGATTTCAGCAAGGACTTCATTTCAAACAGTTTTTTGAAACACAGCAATAATCTCTCTAATCAGTTGTGTTATAGGACTTACAACAGAAGAACTATGTCCTTACCCCAGTTGTCTTTCCTATCAAATCCTGTGGTACTTATTGAGCATGTGCCTTGTTTCAGTGATAAAGTGTCAGTGCCATCTAGAGCAACATTATTGACTCATCTCAGATATTTAAGTCAAACCAAGCCAAAGAGTCACTTAGCTTGCAGTTGACTACGTGTGATCCTATAGACTTGTGGGCTTGGCTTCGTGCAGGCAATCACACAGTAGAATTTAGCAATAATAGCTGAGCTTTGACTTTGGGTTCCTCTAAAATGGAATTAGGTGACTACAAATTCTGTTAATTAGATTCTGCAGAAAATGCAGTTTCATTACAGGGCTCTTTTTGAAAACATACAGCATCTCTTCAGGTTGCTACTGTGGACAAGTTTTGGCAGTTAAATTCAGTTTCAATCAAATTGTCTAAAAAAGTAAGAATAGCAAATATTATGAATTAGATACGCACATTAAATGAAGTACACATTAAAATAACTGTGATACTTGAACTAACCTACAGTAACTATACTTTGTGGAGTTCTACCATTCTGCCACGAAAGCTATACCTGGGACTCACCTGTCTTTTCCAGAAGTTGCACTCTACCTGGAAGTATTATTGACTCATAATCTATTTCTTTTTTCTCTTCGGTTGTACCAAGCTGGTGACAATGTAACACTGGTGGATTTGTGTTCTCAAGTCTTCAGGGCTTATCTCATAAAACGGAAAGTAGGGAAACTTACTTCTCTTGTCAAAACTCAAATTGCAAATCACTGTTAAACTTACAGCAGGAATCTGTTTGTTAGTTACAGGCGTTAGTTTTATCCTAAATGGTCTTTGTTGTATACCGTCACTAAGATAGCTGAACATAAATGAGGTTGAGTATATCTCTTCTTATTTGTTTTTAGATAAAGGTGAAATAAGTAACTTTAGTGTATCTTTGCTGTCTGTTCACAGAAGAGAAGCTGAAAAATGTGGTCCTCTGAAGAATTGTTGATGCTTCTTTCTTAAATTACATTATAGTGTTTCTGGAACAAAATGTATCTGTTTCTTGGACCTGGACCTTTGTGGGCAATATTTTTCATGGGTATTAGGTGGTTGTAGTTTGGAATTAGTATTAGATGTTTACAGAATTCTATGGACTATAGAATTAAAAATAAACAAATAAATTGGGGGTTCTTTAGAATATACTTTATTGGTAGGCATGGTTATACTTCAGCAGCGTAAGTTCTCTTTATGCAGTTCTGAGTAAAAAAAAAAAAAATGCACAGTTGCTAATTGAAACTGGTATTATGGCTTATCTTCAATTTATTCTTCCTTCCAGAGTAAAGAAGAAGTGATGGCAGTGCGGCTCCGTGAGGCAGACCGCATAGCAGCTGTGGCTGAACTCCAGCAGCACATTGCTGAATTGGAAATCCAGGTAACACATAATGATATTAAATGTGTGGCTTCATACTCCCTACTTCTTGTACCTTTTTTCCTGTCCTTCACTTTCTTTCTTTTTTTTTAACCTGTTGTGAATACAAGACACTACTTGGCAAAATGGGATAATGCTATCTTTGTATGGTGTGCTTCCTTTATAAGCAAAGGTCTTACATTTACCTTCTGTGCACACTGGTGAGCTTTTAATAATTGTTTCTGTACTAGCACCATGTGACTTCTCTTTGTTTTTACTTGTAATCAGTAATTTTCAATGCTATATCAGGTTGGAAGCATACCATCAAAAAAATCCACATTTTGATTTCAGCAGACATTCCTGTCTGCATGTAATTTTCTGCCATGATCAGAGTTAGATTTGTTGTAAAATGTACCTCCATTATTTACTTAAACCAGTCCTTCTGTTTAATGCTGTGTATCGCTGTAGGATTTGAAGATACGTTCTGTAGCCCTTGTGCTGTTCCTTGTACTGTTCCATTTTTTTTGTCTTGAGCCCACTGCTCCCTTAATGAGAGACCCATAAGTGATTTCTATTTTTCTGGCTTGGAGAAGTCTTGATGCGTTACTGCAGACTGTCATTCATGTACTCGCACACTGTTTCCCTACCTGAATTTTGTTGTCTGTCCGCAAAGGTTTTCTTGGTTATTAATCCTGGATTCAAAGCTACTTGTTGTCTAGTTTCCTTTCTTCTTCTCTTAAGCTGGCAATGCAGTGTCAGATTTCCCTCTGAAATTTCTCCTTCAAGATGATTTCTTTTTATGGTGTCAAAGTTCAACTACTTGTGTTTTCTTTAAATCTTCATGTATGGTATGAACTTGCTTCGTAAAACAGTTCTTTGTTTCTTAACTCTTGGTTACCGTTTTGCTAACTGCATGAGGAACACGTCAAGTAACATGGTTGCATGTTGTTTCTATAAGATCGTCTTGTTTTATGTAGATGACTGTACAAATAAATTTGATGGAGTTTGCATAAAGAATTTTCACTTTGAATACTTTTTCCTGTATTGAAGCGGGCACCAAATCTATTAAAAGATAAAACAATCAGTTGATCACATAATGCTTAGATAATGCGGAGATGAGTACATTAGAACTACTTAGATAAGTTAGTATTGCATATGACTCAGTTATCTTCTAGAAAGATAATAAGAGAATAGCTGAGTTCAGGTCAGGCTTCTATGTTAGCAATCTATCTGTAAAATAATTGTTTATATTCATTTCAAACTATCTGGTTTTGCAGGTGAGGAACCACCTGCACTTTTTTGCTTTTTTTCTACTGTAACACTGGCTTTAAATGCTTTTTCCAGAAAGCACAGTAGTTCTGGTGTTATGAAATAGGGAATCCAACAATCTGTTTTTTTTCTCTCACTGAATTACAATTTTTTCAGTAAACAAGTCTATTTTCTATGGTTTGACTGATAAATCATCAGTGCATAATCATCTTACAGCTCTCTCCTATTCCCTTTCCATGCTTCTGCCTAAGCTACAAGTGTCAAATTATACACAATTTTTATAATATCATGGGTATTTAAAGAATGTAGGTGCTAGAAGGTAAACTCTTTCCTAAGTCTGCTTTATACATGCAAAGACTTCACTGTCCCTGTTTTGTCATGATATTTCACTGTCTTGTTCACTTGTTTCTCTCCTTCCTTTTCACAGTCACTTCTTTGCATGATGCAATCTTTAGGTTTTTCCACTTCTCTCAATTATGTTGCTTTCTTTTGTCTCCTACTGAAGTGCATTTCAAGTTCCAGTCTTTTTTTTGTCACCACAGATGATCACCTGTTAATGATTTCTTCACCTGTAGCCTCAAGATCCTTTGTTTTCTGTACAATTGAGAATGACTGTACTTTGTGTATAATCAGAGCATGAAGTCATTCTGTGTCTGTGGTATGTACTAGGAGTTTCCATGTTAGTTTGAACTACTGATTGATCTCAAGCTTATATTAGTCTGAAATATAGCTTGTGTAATTGTGCAATACATGTTTTGAGTGTTAACTTCATACATACATTTAAAACAGCAGTGGTTTAATAGAAATAAGTTCCTTTTATGTCTTCTTTCACACTGCAGACTTGTCTTGAAAAGTTTCCATTGTGCTGTGAAAGATTCTTTCTGCTTATAGAACCTTACACAGATATTTGACTGGTGTTTTGACAGCAAATATATGAAACTTAAGATCAAAAGTTCCTTTCAGGTGCTCAGGCTCAAAGGTGTCTGAAGCACCTGCAGCAACAACAACAACAAAAGTACTTCGTGGAGTTGTGAAGTATTTACTTTCAAAGCTAGCAAGCTAAAACAAACTATTGATCCTACTGCTTCAACAAAACCTGTTTTTTAAGGAACCAGCAAGTCTCAATATGGGGATGAGGTACTAGATAACTTTTTTCTCATCAGAGAAAGAGCTGCCTCATTCTTTTCCATTCAGCTTGCTGCTGGAATGCTGTGACCTGATGTCAGCAGTGGAGGACCTTTTAATTGAGACTTGCCTTAATGACTTGAAATACAACATGTAATATAAAGTGCTTCTAACTAATCTTGGAGCGTAGATGTCTCAAAGTGATTATGCTGAATAAGAAGCATCGTAAATAAATATGCTTGTGATTATTTCTAAGCTGATGAAGCTTACCACATAACCTTCATTTTTTGTGTGTGGAAAACTTTGTAAGAAGCAGGGGAAAACCTAGGGATTCAGTGCAAGGTCCACATGGTCCATAGCAATGCTTGACTTAAATCATTTTTCTTTTTAAATGTTTGTGTAGGTGTAGGTGTGAGACATTGGCATTAACTTCTGCAGAGTATCACTACTCCCACATGCAAACTGTTCTGACATACACAAATGCTAGATTTAAATCACAGTTTGAGGTCACTCTTAGTTTTGGTTAGTAATAATGACAAGGACAAGGAGGTAGTTTTATCATTTAATAGTAGATGTAACTTTGTAGCAAGATCTCAGTTTGCTGTGGTATTAAGTAGTTATTTTTATGTATTTTGAATATCATTTTATCTTAGGCATTGAGCTCTTGATGCTGACCTGTTAGACTTCTGTGTAAATGTGTTGATATACAAAAATAATCCACGGGCATTCTTACTCAAAAGTCTGACACATTCCGTAATGATAATAACCTAATTGGAATACCTAATTCATGGAAGTGATGGAGAAAAAAACCTTGAAGCTATGTATAAGCAAAGGTGTCCTTTGTCAGCTATGTTTTCCTCTGTTCTTGTTTTCCTTACCAGTTCAAGTCATAAAACCCTTAGGAAGCAAGCATGGCATCAAGTACTTAGCAGACTTCTGCTTTACTTGATCATTAAAAACTAAATGATGAATTTCTAGATGTCTAGGCTGATAGCTGACTAGTTCTGGCCAAACTATAGAATGCAGGTCTCACTTTTGTGAGAAAGTGAAACATCATATGAAGAGAACAGCTTATCCCCAGTATGGAGGTACAAACCCCTTTTGTTTCATCCTTTTGTAAGATATAGGCAGCTAAGACCAAGGAATGGATATTTGCTCTTTACGCCTGTAGCCCATCAGTAAATTCCTGGGTTTGCTTCATCAAAGAATAAATCTTCCTTCTTATCACTTGGTCTGGTGTAATAGCTACAAACTGCAACAAGCAAATGTTTTAACTTCTTAATATCAGCCTTTAAAGTAGTATTACTTGTGGTTTGTCTCTATACTTCCTTAGAGCTCTCAGGAAGATCTCTAGCAAGCCTCACTAATTTCTGGTCTGGAAGAGTAGGTATTCCTTCTGGTCATGTATAGTTTGTCCTGTTGGTTATTCAACACTGGTAGGGTTTTTGCTGTTTTTTTTGCTGTTTTTTTTTTTTTAAGCTTTCCTTGAAACAGTTGAAGGCAGGACAGGCTAAAAATGAGAGGGAGAGGGGAAAAAAAAAGTTTTGGAGAAATTCAGGCAAGGTTAAATTAAGCTGCAGTTATCAGTTAATGTCAGTCAGCTGGCCAAGATAATCATGGTGCCAGTGAAACATGGACACTGGGGAAACAGAGCTGGGAAGATTGTGGAACTCTCTTCTGCATTTTGATCTGTTTCTCTCCATTTCCATTCAAACTACTGACTTGTTGCTATCCTAAAATAGTCCATGGCTAGTTTGGGATGTGGAGATACAGAGCACATTTGTTATAGAAAACTAATTTTACATGTGAGTAATCTCAGTAGGAAAACTCTTCTGTTGGTTAGGTTGATCTGGTCAGGGGGTAACATCACTTCCTTCTTGGTGTGTTTCCTGGCAGATTCGGAGAATTGTCACATTTACCCATATTTAACCATGTCAGAGCTGCTTTGAGAACAACTGTAAAGGAAGTCCATGATTGTTCTGGTTCTCTCTCCCACAGTTAAACTTTTAGCACTATTTCACTAGAATGAAGCCTTTCTATGGCCTCTGTTTAATAAGTTTTCCAAGTACTGACTTGAGTAAAGAAATTGTTTCCATCTTTTCAAATTACAGGAAACATTTTTTCTCTTATCAATAGTGGTATGTGATGTTAGTGATGTGTTTTTTGAAAGTCTAGAATGAGTCACTGTAAAGTCACTGAAAGGACACTAGTTACCACATTTACCCTTCTGAATAAACTTCATTTACATCTTAGTGCTCTGTCTTGCCACAGAGGTAAGAGTTTAAAAGCGTACCCTGAAAAGAGTCTGAGGTAGGTTGGTAATAAGTAAATATTTTAAGGGTAGGGGAAAAAATCAAGGGTATTGAGGAAATATTCTACCCCTTAGATATTTTTAGTAAAGCTGATAGATTATTATCTGAGGAACAACTGTCTCGTGTCTCTTCATTTTTGACTACCAGTAAAACCAGTGATTTGGTTTTTGTGTTTTTCATAGTTATTATTAAAGTAAAAAAGATCCCCAGATATTCTCTTACTTAAATAATGTAATTTCTGACATTTATTTTCATACTGTGGTCATCAAGAGTACTGGAAAACTGCTACTGTGGGAATGCAACTGGAATTCTATTATT